TTCTTCTATCGAAAATATTGTACAACGTAAAAATGAAAAGTTTCTTAGATAAGAGGGAAGACAAGATGAGATTAATGATTACGAATCGTGCCAATTATTCTAAAACTTCCAAATAAAATGTTAAAAATGGTGCATCGTTAAAATGAAAAATGACCGTTTTAAGGAGTTGAGTTTTTTGCACAAACTCTGATTTTCTAAACTCTATATCTTTGCAACCCATTATCGTAGACCATAGATCAAATGCCTACACCATCAGGTTGCCATGATATTGGGATTTAAATTTTCAAAAGTTCGACAAAATGCAATTTAATTCTCAAAATGTTAAGAAAAAATGTTTAAACCAGTTATTTACTTTGTCCAGAGCCTGCGATTAAAAAAAATTCGGGAAAATACGGCTCGGGTCCAATCTGTCGTTGGGGCTTGTTTACGGCTTGAGCTTTCGGATTCAAGCTGCATCTTATTGTCCACAGAGTTGAGTTCAAAAAAATTGACGCATTCCGGGTTTTTATGAGAACAATACTCAATATTGAGCCTTATTCTCTACTAAAACCAACCAAGGTCGGTTTTACTTTCATTGGGCCTAACTCCTTAAGTCGAGCTGAAGATCTTGCAGCTGTCAATCACGTGACACAAGCTGTCGTTAGAGTTGGGTCGAAAATTTGGTCTAAAAGTCGGGTTTAAGGAATTACGACTTTAGACGAAGTTTTTAAATCGTGGGCTCAGATCTATGAATTGCTAAAGAAATTATGAGGTAAAAAGTTGGACCCAAATGAAATATCAAAACTAAATATTTACAAAACATTGCTGGAAATAACAGAATTAAAAAGTCTAATATAATTTGTTGGTACTTTTTTGGTTTCCAACGGGGCAACAACGTTGTTTGAAGTTAGAAATTTTGTATTGAGAATCTTATTCATACATTAATCTAATTCTTCCTTAATATCCTGTGGAGGGCATTCCCTCCAGAGATTAATAGAGAGATCAAGCATTTATCTTCAAAGGAATTGATTCTTTGCAACAAAACTCTGATTTTCTAATCCCAATATCTTTGAAACCCAATGTCGTAAACCTTTGATATTTCAAACTTATGTTATTTGATCTTACAAAAGTCATAGTTTGAAATATCAAAGGTCTACTACATTAGAATCCAAAGATATAGGGATTATAAAATCACAGTTTGTTGCAAAGACTCAATTCCTTTAAAAGTGCCCAAATCGGTTATCAAGATCAAGCGTTCAAGGTTAACGATACACAGATCAAAAGGGCAACCTCAGTGCTTATGAAATCATAGCTATTTCTTTCAACCCATTAGCTTATTTTCAAATTTTACAATCAGCAAATGTAACTTATTTTTTTTAAATATGGACTTTTATTCATTATAAAAGATGTTCGAAATAATTATTTAGAAAGATTAAAGTGCAATTTAACTCAAATGTATTTATAAAGAATGACTCTGAATCGAATTTTCAAATGAAATAGAATGATTTACGTTTCTAAAATCCAATCTTTAGATAGTTTAATCAATTTAAGGAAAACTTTGCCAATAAAGGATAAATTATTTGCATTTCAAATATAAGCAGATTGGTGCAGAGTGCATCTGTATTCTGTAGAATATATTTATCTGAATAAATTTAGATTAAGATGAACTAAATTGGAATATATGAGTAATATTTCAAATATAAACAGTCTTAACATCAACCTGGGGAGTTCTTTCTTTATATGCAGGGTTCAAGCACAGAGTTTATCAAATATGTTTAATGGGTTTACTTCTTACAGGATACAGGATACAGGATACAGAATACAGGATACATGATACAGGATACAGAATACAGGATACAGGATACAGGATACATGATACAGGATACAGGATACAGGATACAGGATACAGGATACAGGATACAGGATACAGGATACAGAATAAAGGATACAGGATACAGGATACATGATACAGGATACAGGATACAGGATACAGGATACAGGATACAGGATACAGGATACAGGATACAGGATACAGGATACAGGATACAGGATACAGAATACAGGATACAGGATACCAGATGCAGGACTACTTAAGGTATACTCAAGCTGTAGACTGAAAACCAATTACAAGACTGAACTTTATTAATTGTTATTTATTAACATTGTGAATATTTGCATATTTTTTTCTTCATTTTTTTACTTTTTGATGGGTATGGAAAATGATCTTCACTGTTTCTAAAAAAAAGAAATGTTTATTGTAGAATTATGGTTTTTATTCGTTTAGAGAATTTTGAGTAAAAGTCATTCAGTAGAAAGGTTAAAAGAATAAGGGAGATCAAGGCAACCCTCCCCCCCCCTCCCTTCATGTCAGACAATGAATATTTTAATTTCAATTCTAAATTGAAATTAAACATAAAGGGATTAATTAGTAGAGAAGAGGGGCCGTTTAGATCAAATGTTTAAATAGATCGGATAGATGTATAGATAGATAGATGTATAGATGGTTAGATGGATAGTTGGATAGATGGATAGATGGATATATAGATAGAAGGATATAAGGGTAGAAGGGAAGAAGGATAGATGGATATTTTACAATTGAAAGATTTAGAAAAAAAGTTCTTTAACCTCGATGCTAGACTTTAAATGCATTTTGGTTTGTTAAAGTCAGATTTATGAATATCCAAGATTCATATATTTTGTCTAAAACTGTTTAACCAACTCATCCTTTTCTCAGTCAAACTTTACAAACTCAAATACATGACTTTCAACTTTGAAATTGATTCTCTTTAATATTTATGAGTTTTTAATTTTTGTTTTATCTTATTCTTTAGGATAGACAAACTGCAATATATATGAATATAATAATACGAAAGTGGGAAAAATTGGAATACTGTGATACTTTTTAAATGATTTTTTTTTTAATTTTTTAGTTTCCATAGATGCTCCTACTAGCTGGTACAAGGGGGAGGGGGCAGATCAAGATCATATTGTTTAACATGAAAAAGAAGGACTAGAAATAATTTGCAATTAAAATGATGAATAGCTCTCCCATATTTTCGAAAACGAATTCCAGACCAACTNCCACCACAAATCTCCAGCTACGCCCCTGCGGCGTGAGAAAGTGTTGTTTTAAAGTGTGCTATACAACGAGAAATCGCCCCAGTTGTTGTTTGGGTTTAAACCTGACTAGTTTCAGTGGTTTCAGCTCCAGGGTTCAATCCTGGTTCTAGACATAGATAAAAACACAGATCAGGAGATAGGTTCGGTTCAGTGCTTAGGTTTCAAACGCATTTTTGTTTAAACTTTTGAAATGAAAAAGTAAAGTTCTAAGACAAGACGTTTTAAATATCTTGAATATACGTGGTTTCAATTCTATTATTACTCTTCCGTGAGACGTAAGTGAGTTCTAGATAAGTATTGTTAGGAGATAAAAATTACGATTCGAGACCCGGGTCAGAATTTAGTACGCATGACGTGTTGTATCATTATTGAATTTGTACTGTTTAGTGTATTATACACAATGGAATACATAAAGAAGAAACTCGACAAATACGTAAATTTAAACAACTCAATTATTTTGAAAAAAATACAATTTGATCGAGATTTTGATTCGATCAAAAACTTATTTCCTAGAAGGTAAATTCAAGTTTTTTGACATTATTTCTCAGAATACTTGATCGTTAGATGCACTTTTTAGGCATCAAACTATTAGTAAACGTGAAAGTAGTGTAAGTGTTTCATGAGAGAAGACTTACTCACAGGTCGTGGTGAAAGTTTTCATGAACAGGTATTTTATGATGCATACATCTATATAATAAAACAAGCCATTCGTATATATATATGTTGCGTATAGCCGGCCAAACGGCTGGACCGGTTGGGCTGAAATTTTTTGTAGACACTTATGGGTGGCCGGGGATTGTTATAGGCAAAAAATTTAATTTTTTCTAATTTTATTTGAAAAAATTTTTTATCCATTTTTTTCACGGGCAACGCCGGGCACTTCAGCTAGTATACAATATACCACTGGAAACTAGACAGAAAGGAAGACATTACTGGTAAGACTTTGAAACCTCGTAGCTCCTAGAACAAATTTATTCGGTTACACGATAGAAATTTTAAACATTTTTGTTTTACTTAATAGCTTTTTAATAGGAGGAGTTAGGATTAAAAACATATACAATTTCAATCTTTTAACCTTACGTGTATATACGTTAAAATGTTACTTAAGTTTAAGGCTTGAAATAGTTCTATAAAACCAAAATTGTTTGATGTCAGTTCAGAAAGCCAGGCTTATTATAAAAAAAGATATTGCAAAACTTGAGAAATTTGTATTAAATATTTTCTAATTGAATTGATTTATGAAAAGTTTTCGTCAAACAGTGAATTGATGTTTATAGACACGATCGGTTAAAGTCATTTTGTTTATTAAGAAAAATATACAAAATTTAAAGGATGATATTAGAAAAACACTCATCGAAGCTTTTAATTGTAATTTTATCAATTGCTATATATTTTAGCCACCTAACCAAGTAACCATAATAAAGACTGAATTTCAAATCATTTTGTTATTTTTTTTTCTTCATTTTTTATGGCATTTTTCAGATCAAACGATTTACTTCTATAAAATATTTAGAAAATAATTTGTTTAGAGATGCCTGTAAGCTATCTATTTTGTTATCTTTTTCTTTAAAGGAAATGAGTTCTTGCCTCAAACTCTGATTTTCAAATCCCTATACTTTTCAACCAGATGTCGTAGTCATTTGATATTTCAAATTATGTCAGATTAAGTTTGAAATATCAAAGGTTTACAGAATTAGATGGCAAAGATGGGATTAGCAAATTTGAGTTTGTGACAAGTACTCAGTTCCTGGCTGTATAACTGAATACATCAAGTTATGAGCGGCCATCTTGAAATTATGTAATTATTTGAGAAATTAGAAATGCCATAATAAATATTTGACTGTTTGGTGAAAGGACCTGAATGCGGTGAAAATCAATTTTGTCTGGACCTGTAATTCTATTTCAGAAAATATGAAAAGATGATATTTATCTTTAGTATCCTAGTTCTAGCAGGGGTGGAGGGAGCTGAACCCCGTAAACCAAACATCTTGTTTATCCTGGCAGATGATCTTGGATACAACGACGTATCCTGGCACAATCCGGAGATGCCAACGTCCGGGTTGGAGAAACTGGCGAGAGAGGGGGTCATCCTAGAGCAGGCTTACACACAGCAGGTATAGGTATAGGAGGAGTGGAATGTCCGATTCATAACGGTACTTTTTAACTTTTGTCTGTTCAAGTACAAACTATATATTCATGTTTATAATTTTGAAACTAATTATTTTTTATTGTGTTTTCTCTCAGTAAAATTGAATTTATGCATCAAGGACATAGGGGTGGTTAACAGTATTCAAAAACTTTTTTTAGATAGAAAATTAGTATCTTACAGACAGTTCTGAAAGTTGGTTCATAATTTTCTTAGCTGTACGTGTGGATCGATGTCCGGCAAAAACTGGTTTTTGATTCAAAAACGTTTCTGTAAATTCGACAGTTTTGACTGGATTTTAACCATTTAATACAATACATAAATATGTATGTATATAACCTCTATATTACATATTATCAAACTTATTTCCATTCCCAAATTGTTTCTCTGACAAGTGACGTGTTCACAGACAACACAGACTGCTCAAACACTCTACCTGGATAGCCTGAGCAGGCTTATAGTGTCCCGGCACGTCATGTAATGTTTTTTGACTGACGGCCACTTGTCGCATTCAGAGGTTTTACAACTTTTAAAGAAATACTCCAATTTTAAACATAAAACATAACGTTTAATTATGAATATAGTCTATTTTTAAAGATTTTTTATTTCCTAATTAAAGGATCCTTAAATATCCCTGAATACAGATGTCTCCTGATTGGTCGTGTACAGTAGTTGTACACAATAGAACATGCTATGAAAAATATCGCACATTTTAGCCGATAATCAATCTCTGTAACTCTCTTATCTCTGGACGTGTTGTTTTCTCCTTGTACTGTGTACGTCAGCTGAGACAGAACTTCAATAATTGGAAAATCCGGGAAACTTTTTTCACATTCTTGCAACGTTTATTCAAGGAACAAATTAAAATAACTTTTAAAAAAATTTTCTTCGCTGTCTCACCGATTCACAACGATACCTTTAAAACCTTTATCTGATCGAGAATGTGAAAAATATGATTAGAGTTTAAATAATACATATTCCTCCGTTGTTTTTGTACCAAGAAATCCGCAAGTCAATTTTATAAAGAAATCACAAGTTAAAATTACCAAATATTTTTAAATCAAATTTAATCTTGTTCAGACAAAATTGTGTAGGTACCCTTCTGAATTGGAAAGGTTGCACGTCAGGTCTTCAGACTCTTTATCATCCAATAGTAAACAGATAGATTTTTCACAATATTTAAAAAGATCTATTATCCTTAAAATGGCGGGGAAATGTTTAAAACCGGCTAGAATTCAACCAAAACAATATTGAACTTTGGTTTACAAAATATACTTCTCAATTATACAATCCATAACCTTTAAGTGAAGTAGAAATAAGATTTTGATATTTCTCCTCTTACCAAATCAATTTAGAAATGAATCTGAAGGTATCACTGTTAAAGGGACTGAAAGCGTGATTTCAAGTGACCCTCAATGCAAAGATATCAATGCCCAATTTACATCGATGCCCTTGAAATCTTTGACTGATTGTTTTTGTTTATTTAATTTGTTTATTTTCATTTGCTGCTTTTGCGAAGCAGGGTTGGAGTTGGAATAGGAAGCAAACTTGGAGTTAGAATGGGGAGCAGAGTTGAAGTTGGAATAGGGAGCAAGGATGGAGTTGGAATTGGAAGCTAGCTTGGAATTAGAATGGGGAGCACAGTTGGAGTTAGAATGGGGAGCAGAGTTGGAGTTAGAAATTTTTGCTTATTAAACAATGGAGAAATTTTTAGAGATGAAGTCTGTTCGAGTCAGAAAAACGACGTTATCTTTCACATTTTTGATCAGATAAAGGTTTCAAGGTAACCATGTTGTTCACGTAAATTACGCTTACATTCCCTTTAAAAAAAGTTCTGGATTTTCTGTAATTCAAAGCTATATATATCCAGTATATGATATTACGTATTTGATGTGGGACAGATATTATTTGTTCAAAAGAACTGAATGTTGCAAAGTAATCAATGTTTATCTATGATCTATTGCACTAAATTCTGACATTCAAGTATATCAATTGAACAGAAGACAAGAGCGTACTGGGGGTGGGTCACTGGGTGCACATGCCCCTCCCCCCCCCCCTACACGTGCCCTACTATGGGCACGCGTAGGGAGCCTCATTTATGAAATGATTTTATGTGATGAGGGAAAAAATGATGAATTGGACATTAAAAGGCAAGTTTTTTTTCATCGTTTTCATACTTTTTAACAAAAAATTCAGGAAGTACTAATTGTTTTGGCGATCAGCGCGCGCACAAGTTTCCCCCTCTCCCCCTACTCGAAAGCTCCAGTTTGCATTTAATTGTGAACTCCCCCCCCTGATTTAATAATTCTTTATTGTAAATAAATTGAAATATATGTTGTTGTCTTCATCAATGATATCCGGGATATTGAGTCTTTGAACTAAATTCAATCTAATAATCGTATATTTGCAAACTCTAACATTTTTATCAACTTTTCCTCCTGTCTGTTTCATACCTTCACATTTATCATAAATTAAATCTTTTATATTATATATCTTTTATTATACCGTATTTTTGTGGATTAAAGAAACTGTAGGCGAAAGATGGCAATGTCCGATTTACAAGTCGAAAAAAAGAAAGATACCAAAGTGTTTATTTCTGTGTGTTTCTTCATTGCTTCTTATAATCAAGAAATGCAAATGAAAATAAAAAATTTAAAGAAGAAAAAACATAGATATCTAACTTTTAGCTTTCAATGGTAGCTTCGTAAATTGCAGCACTGCCATCCTTGCATGAACACACTCCTCTGCAGCTTTAGTAAATTGTAAATTGTCGGTACAGTCCAAAGTAGGAAAAGTAGGACTGCAAAGGTTGGCCCAGCTTGGATATTCAAATGTACACCAGTGGGGTGGGGCTGGGTGGGGCCAAGGATTTAATGCAAGGAAAGTTATTTCAGAGGTGTACGCATGTTGCCTTACACTCTTGGGTGGGGCGTGTGTAGGTTCACTTCAAAATTATTAATTGACTCTTTCCTTAAATGGACAGTAGACTTAATATTATGTGCTCACTGTCAACAGATTAGCAGGTTCGATTCACAATTTCACCTTTTGAACCTTCATCTGAGTAATATTGAGGACGGTATCGTATTTTCTTGAAATGTCTCCCACAAAAATGCTCAACTCACTTTTATAGAGAAACCCTGGAGTTGAAATAATCTGTTTTTAGATGGAAAAGCACGCATAACTCCTTCCTCTTTGACTAAACAAAGGTTTTAATTATATCGTTGTGAATCGGTCTTGACACTCTGAAAATGAAAAATATCAAACCTTTATTAAAATAAATATTTTCTCTGGAAACATTTCGATCAAAATATAAATAAGTCGTCTTCTTTATTTTAAATTCTTATAATAAAGAGACTTAAGTCTGAGGTTTCCTATAAACCAATATAAAATATACAGTGTGAGGTTGCCTCCTATATGCATCTTTGCAATCCCTGCAATATTAAATATTAAATCTTATCTCAGATTTTCTTAAAATTAAGAGACTGTGGTTTCCTATAAACCAATATATAATATACAGTGTGAGGTTGCCTCCTATATGCATCTTTGCAATCCCTGCAATATTAAATCTTATCTCAACTTTTTAACTTTATACTCAACTAATTGGGAACCTAACTTGGCCTGGAAATTAAACATTAGCTATAAAAGTAAATTTATGGAATCATAAACCAAGGTAATAACATTTCCTTGGTTCTACTGAGTTCCCCAATCAAAATTTGAGGCATAAACGGTCAAGTGGTTTCGGAGTTATGATCAGACTTACAAACAATAGACAAACAATCAGATATTACTATTTCTATGTATGTATGTATATATACTTATCTTGTTTGGGTGTTTTTTGTAACCGATAAACGTCAAAACGGCTGAACCGATCGGACCCAAAAAAAATGTTAGGCAAAAATTTTTGAAAATCCACGAAAAAATAATATTAAATCCAAGAAATTTTTGTTATTGTTTTATAATGTACAAAGTTTTAAAGGTTGAAATAGAAAATGGGCGCGAAGCGCCCTAAAGCCTAGATATATAAATATATATATATATGTATATATGTATATATATATACATACATACAATAAATATTTATATCCAACAAAACTTCAAATCATGTTTTAATACTTATTTTCTTATATTTATATATAAATAGATACTCTATAGGTTATCTACAGTGACTTTACAAAATTTATCTTTAAAATTTTGTGTTATTATTTTATATATTTGTCAACATTTCAAAGATTATATTTAAAGTAGAAGCTTAAACTACACATTGATTTTCAGGTCGTCAGTATACGGTCTCATCCTTTCTGGATAGCCCTGTACCAATACATAAGTTGTTAAAAATTCAAAATGAAATTTAAAGGGACTGTAAGCGTAATATAAAAATTTTGAAAATACTCAAGGCTCATAGTTTTAGATATATCTAACAGTTATAAATTTAAATTCAGCTTTAGCTTCTACTAAAACTAGTAAAGCAATAATTATAACAAAATGAAAATTAAATGAAATCAATACTTTTATCATTTTTGTACTTTTTAAATCCAACTCAAAACTAACAAGATAGAAGTTATTTGAATTAAATTCAATTTAAACATTTCAGTTTCATTATGCTATTTCAACCATATATACTGCTAAATGTTAAAAATTCAAAGCATACATTTTATTTGATCTAGAAATGGTAGTACTCAAGTACAGATGAAGAGCTGATAGAGTTGATATTTTTAAACTCCAAACTCTTCGCAAATAAAGAATATAACTGTAAAGGGATTGAAAGTTTTTTCCATACCAATGGAAATCAGCCTTTGCCACAAACTCAGATTTTCTAATTCCTATATCTTTGTAATCGCAATATCGTGGACCCCAGATATTTTAAACGACAAATTTTGTTAGATTAAATAATTGAAGTCAGAAATATCAAAGATTTACATCATCGGGTTCCAATAGTACAATTGAGTTTGTGGCAAAAAATCAATTTCTTTTCAAGCAAGGAAGTGATTACTCGTCTCATACTCTAATTTTCCAATCCTTAGACATATATTTGCCACTGCAAACAAGATAGAAGGAGAAAGTCACATTTATGGAGATTACCTGTACGACTTTGTAACCTTGTAGCTTCACTTGTTTGGATTTTACGCCCTAGTGAAGCAAATTCATCCTGTTACATCTATATATAAATTTGGCTTGTCTGTCTGTTTGTATCCAATAAACGTCAAAACGGCTTAACTGATCGGGCCCAAATTTTTTGTGGGACATCACGTGACCACAGGGAAGGTTTATGAATTATAAAAATTTTAAAAAAATGTGATTTAAAGGTTTTCAATTTTGTAAACAAAATTAAATTCTTGAAAATCCGCGAATTTTTTTTGAAAATCCGCAAAAAATTTTTCTTCTTTGTTTTGAAATGTAAACAAAAAGAACATGTTCGCAATTTAAATAGAATATGGGCGCGAAGCGCCCTAACAGCCTAGTTATATTAGAAATTTAAAAAATTTATGTTCTTCTCAATAGCTCTCTTATAAGAGGAGTTATTATTGAAAATATAAGAGTTTCAATCTTTAAACTCTGATCGATTAAATAATCAGAGAGTGTGAAATATAAAGGTTTTAAACCAGGAGGTGCCCAAGCTATAGGGATTACAAAATTTGAGTTTGTGACGTAATTGTTAATTTTCAAAAGACAGCTTGGAAATAATGTTTAAAGCGAGCTAGGAAAGCCCGGTTCAATTTAATGGCGAGATAAAACCAAAATTAAGATTTTAATTTACAATGAATATTTTAGGTGTGCACACCTTCCAGATCTGCTCTTCTTACAGGGAAATATCCTTTTCATATAGGTAAATTTTGGGAAATATCCTTTTCATATAGGTAAATTTTGGGGGATTTATTTTTAATATAGGTAAATTTTGGGAGATACCCTTTTCATGAAGGTAAATTTTGGGAGCTACCCTTTTCATACAGGTAAATTTTGGGAGATACCCTTTTCATATAAAAAATATAAATGATAATATTATTTATACGCCCGTGTCAAGTGACCAGAACTCCCATCAAATGGTAGTGCAGTATACTGGTCACGTGATAAGGACGTATTTATAATATTATCAATTATATTTTTTAAACATAGAACATTATTAAATTCACATAATAAAAGGAGCAAACCTAAGTTTCCTAGGATCCTCTGGGATATCGTTGTTTTCCGATTGGTTATGCATTAGTTTAATATGATCCGTTTAAACCTACTATTTTTACACAAAATTTTATAAATATAAATTTTCATATAAATTTTACACAGTTTTATAATAGTTTCTCGAGACAGGAACTCTTATGGGTCTCCTAAAATGCTCTGTTTACAGCCTTTACCCTTTTTTATTATTCCTTTACAGTCTTTTAAAACAGATTTAAATAAAAATATCTAAAAGATAACTTGTGAGAAAATTTCAATTCTACAGTGATAGCCAGAAAACAATGGTTCAGAAAGACTACATTTTAGCAATACTTAGGTACTTATGTCATTACAAAGCAAATATTATTTAATCACTAATCTAGTGAAATGGGTCTGTTTCACTGCAACAATTGCTATAGATCATGCTTATTGCACTTGTTAAAGTTATAACTTGATTCTTAAAGTCGTCTTTCTATTTCACATTTTCTGATTATCACTGTAGCAGTGCAGCATTTCTTAACAGTAGAAATCAAAAATGTTTTTTTACCAATATGACAAATTTGAAATGTATTTATCATAATAACTCTATTTTTTTATTTATTTAATTTTTTAAAAAATGTTCAGGCCGGCAGAAACGTGCTCTCAAACCTCTTCAACCAACCGGTTTATCGGTCAACCTGACTACTCTACCTGATCAGCTTAAACTACTGGGATACAGTACACACATGGTTGGGAAGTGGCATTTAGGTAACAATCACCAGCCTGCTAACCAGCTTTTACGTGATAGGCCAGACAGGCCTTTAGTTGTACCGACACGACATGCTGCATTTTAACATCAGGTTTTTGACTGCCATCTAACGGCAACTTGTTGCATATTATACCCATACAGGGGTTAAGTATTACTATTTTTAAAGAAATACTCTAACTTCTAGCATTAAACATAATATTTATGGATTTAGTCTATTGGTGAAGGATTCGTATTTCGTAATCAAAGGATCCATAAATTTCCCTGAATACGTAAGTCTGTTCATGGGTAGTGTACTCCAGTTGTTCTCAATGGAACACGTTGTAGAAAATATCGCATATTCTATCCTTTAATAGATCTCTGATAACAATAGATACCTTCCCTTTTGGTTCAAAATATCGTATTATCGAGAAAACTTCGAAATTACGAAGATTTAGTTCGGTAATACAAACAAAATGCTAGGTTTTTTTTTGTTACAGCGCAGTGATTCATGAATATAAGAAGTAACATTAAGATAATTCTGCTAAAATTTTCTTCTCTGAAATAATCTCTAAAGTAAAAATGCTAGATATCTCTTATTTTAATCAAATGTTTAAAGGAACTGTCAGCATATTTCAAGTGAGCCTCTCTACAAAGAGTAGAATACCCGATTTACAAACAGTCTGAACTTAACACAGTGCATACCTGAATTTGCAAGCGGGTTTCGATTTGCACAAACCTGTACTCGACGAACACACTAAGGTTTTTAGGGGTACCGTTTAAATCGGACCTTGCCGGGCCCTCTTAGGGGTACCGTTTAAAACGGACCTTGTCACTTAAAATCATGCCTACAGTCGCTTAAAATGTTCAGGATACTGTGCTGAGGAGTATACCCCAACCAGGAGAGGATTCGATTCCTTCCTCGGGTTTTATCTGGGCAGTCAGAACTACTTCTCTCATGACAGGTTTGTCAACTAACCATTTTGAAAATGGTTAAACCACCATTTTGACAATGGTTAAACCACCATTTTGAAAAATTGGCAAGTCACCATTTTTAAATATTGACAAGCCACCATTTTGAAATATTGACAGGCCACAATTTTGTAATATTTTTTTTAGATCTAAATATTTATTTTGTAGCAGAGATTAAGATATTACAATTGTATTACAAGTTTACAACTTTCATAAATGGAAAAACTACATTATTTATTTTCTATATAAATGATTCATATGATAGACACAGATTAGACTTTGAATGCCAGTGCAATATTTCGCAGCTGACTCCCTCGTCATCCAATCCTTCAGAGTTGACATCACACCTTTGTTTCTTCTCCTTCTCCTGTTGACGGGTCGAGAAACTCTAGAAAATGAGAAAAATTCTTCTCCATCTTTAGTCCACAGGTTAAGCTTGATATCCAGTCCTAGATCCACTCCTTCCCTATACAACTCCAAGAGTTTATGTGTAATTCTCATTGTTCATGTTTTAAACTCCCCGCCATAGCAACAGATAGCTGGGTCAGCTGGTATCTGGCTAGGAGACAGAGAGTCACAGAGATGTGTTGTTGCCAGCAGGGTTAGGGGGAGACTGGAGCAGGGTTAGGGGAGACTGAATTTTGTAATATTGGTAGTTAATCATTTTCAAATATTGTGAGGCCACATCAAGCCACCTTTTTGAAAAATTGTCAAGCCACCATTTTAAAATTTTGTCAGGTCATCATTTACAATTAGTTTTAGGCCACCATTTTGAAAAAGTAAAAGGTCACATTTAAGAAATATCGGTAGATGACAATTTTTAAACATTGTCGGGACACCATTTTGATTTAACATCTAGCCGGTCCCCTTTTTGCAGGTTTAAACTGACAGAATTTAATATAGCTCCTCTTCACTTCAATTCTATTCTTAAAATCAAAATTAATATTTTAATTACATTTTTCAGAAGTAAAATTTTCTTCACCTCGTCAATCTTTATTTTTTTATATTTGTCTGAAAAAATACATCTTTATTTTGTTTTGATTAGATTCGAGATTGATTATCATTTTACTTGTTACTCCTCGACCCTTCCTCTCTCTTCTGCTGGGAAAATAAAAATGATCTGGCATTAAAAGTGCAGCAGCACTTTATACCAATTAAACATTAATTCTTAGAGTTGAAAATAGAAAAACAAATACAGACAAGCTTCTTAGATCTATATTCTATTGTGGTAATCTCTGTTTGTCAGTTCGATCATAACTTATGAACCCATTGGCCGATTTGCCTTGAATTTTTATTGGTGAACTCGGTAGAACAACGGGAACGTTCTTAGCTTGGTTTAAAAATTCTAAGTTGAGTGGGTTGACTTTTAAAGTTTTGTTTCCAGGCAAAGCTGGGTTCACAAATTAGTTTTTAAATAAAATTGAATTTGTATAACACTAAAGTATTTGTAAAAGAACATGAATTATATTCCAAATAGATAAAATATAAAGAGCAATATAAACAATTAACTGAATATATTGATGAAAGAAAAACTTTTGGAAAAATAATAATTTAGCAACGTATCCAAACTTAATTACAAAAGTTAATATTTCTGGAAAATGAAAAAATTAGCTTTCCTCAAGAAACTGATGAAAAAACTTATTCTCCTAATATATTTGATAAAGATAGATGAAACCATCCTAAACAGAACTACAGATGGATTCAAGGTAATGGTCACTGTAAGAGCCACGTTATTAATTTTCTTTTAAAAGGGAGTGCAGGAATTAAAACGCCTAATAAATAACTATATTTTAAAGTTTAATAATACACAAGAGGTAAAAGACAACAATATAAGATAGAAATGTTGTCTTAATACTTTTAGTTGGACGTTTTCTTCGATTCAATGTTTACGCAAAAATAAAATGCATTTCCATGAAACATAATTATTTTTGTTGTTGTAAGATTTATGTGTTCTAGAGCATTTACTTTTTTGTCTGAATGCCAAGAATAAACAATTACTACCATGTACCATGGTTAAAAAATCAAGTTATTATCCAGGGATTACAAGACACAAGCTTCAGATCCTCCAGCTTTCTATGATTTCCGAGAGAATGAAAAACTAGCAAAGCAATATGAAAATGTATATTCAACTTCAGTTTTCAGGTAAAGTCAGAAAAATAAAATAATAAATGTTTTTGCCAAAACAAATTTACAGATTACAAATTATTGTCACATTGTCATGAACATTTATTAACTTTAATTCTTTGAAAAATATGTATACAGTTTAACCCTTAACTTCGAACGAATTCATAAAATGTGGTTTTCTAAACCTACTGATAATGGAATACTGCAATTATTTAGTTTTTAAATTTAATAATCATGTGGAGCTCTTTAAAACTACTTATTTTTACAACTAATGAGTTTTAGGTCCGGTGGTAGGCGATTATATAGATATAATGAATACGACTTTTTTATTTAAGTTTTAATTGTTAACAAGCTTTTCTGGAATTACAAGTTTACACTTAAAGAGAACCTTTTCAATTGACTGCTTATTTTCCATTCCATGTTTTGTGTATCCATGCTGTTTCACTCCTGTATGCCGAGCCCATTAGTGCCTGATCCAATGGTTCAGTCATGTGTTTGTTGTCTATTCTGAACCAGTAGAAATAGTATGGCGTTAACATCTATCTTTCTATCAATCTCATTATCCAATTAGGGTTATGAATCCTTCTATCGGCGCTATCAGTAAATGGAAATATTTACTTCTACTAAAACTATAGTTTAAAAGCTTGATATAAACAAAAAAATTGAAATCAAAAGTAGTCTTCGTCATATTGACATGATCGCCTACCACCGTATAAAAGTATAAGACCCATTTAAAAATTGCCAAGACGACATTTTAAAAATTCTTTTGATGATAAAGTTTTGGGTTTAACTGTATATATTGTTATACTGTAGTTCTGTCCTAGGGATAGAAGCATTAATATTGTGGAAAGTGTCGGAAATGCAAAAGCAGTAAACGCTTACGGACACTACGATCCTTTCTTTCTTTATCTTTCATTTCAGGTAAAAATGGCAAAATTTCTGTGGAAATTATTTTCTAAAAAAAGACCACATTCTACTAAATAAATTTAGTCTTTGTCACTGCTAGTGCTGCCATAGCTTCTAAATTTATCAAACAATTGAAAATCAGATAGCGGAGTGCAAATCATTCAATGATTGCTGAATATTCCTCTTTAAGGGATTGTATGCACGTAAGTTCAAGATTGGCATGTCCTAATTACAACGGTACCCTGTCCAACTTTATTTGTTATTCTTATTTTTCGGTCTGAAAATTAAAAATTTGTACAATTGTGTTTTCCCTGTAAAAGTCACTTTAGTATTTATGCGGAAGAGAGAAAGAATAAAATTGACAAAATTCAGCACGTTGTGAAAGGAAAAACGACAATATCTTCCTCTCATTGCTGATATATGTCTTTAATCACTAATCAGGCACTCTACTCTTTAATTTGGGGTCACTTGAAAACGGTACAGTCTCTATAAACACATGCCAAGACCTGGATAGTTTTCAACCTAGGATAAAATCTCTTTCATGGACGATATTCAATACTGAGTACTGAGTACTGAGTACTGAGTACTGAGTACTGAGTACTGAGTACTGAGTACTGAGTACTGAGTACTGACTACTGAGTACTGAGTACTGAGTACAGAGAATAATTTTCAAAGAGTTTTTTAAACGCTGAAATTCATATCCTCATGAAGAAAGTTTTGACATTTTATAATTCTGCTTGTTTGGATTTCAGCATCTGTATATTTAGACTATTTGAATAAAATAAAATAAAATGTTTGTATTCAGGCTACCCATGCCCCGCTACAAGCTACAACTGAAGCACTGGCTAGAGTTACCAAAGCTAGAAGATCTTCAAATCCTGCGAGGGAACTAAACCAAACTTTTAAATCATCTATGATCTAGCAATATAATACAGAATAACACTGCAGAGACAGAATCTATGCAAGAAAGACACGGGAAAAAGTATCTGGGAAAAAACCTGGAAATAAAAACTTGTGGAAAAAAGTTCGAATTTTCTCAAGTCCTGTGGACTTTTTTAATTTAAGGATGTTTACAACCAGTATTTTTCCGGGGACGTTTTTGTATAAAATAATACTGGAACCAGAAAAAAAGTCCAAGAAAATAGAGTCTCGAATTGGTAGGACTTTATTTCCAGAGACTTTTTATTTAAAGAACCTTCTTAGTGCGAAATTTTATAATTTTTTTGAGACCTTTTTGGCGGTTAAATACCAATGCACAAAAATTTTACTTGGACTTTTGGTTTCATACAGTTGTACACTTGTTCCTTTCTTGGCTAAAAAATTTGTAATATTAAAAACTACTCAAGTCAGATTTGACCAATTTCAAACCTCAGATTATTATACTTAAAGAGTTTTAAGGTTTTTGTCAATTTGTGGGTAACTCGCGAAGAATTTCTGAGATCCATAAATGGGAGTATCTTAATTCTTGATCGAAAGTTCAAAATAAAAAAAATGTCTACTATCTTGACTCAAAACTAATAAGCTGGTTTACTTCAGAGACATCTACAAAGCCATGGTACTAGACATGGATGATGCTGTCACTGATATCGTCGCTAGTCTCAAGAAGAATAATTTGTACAATGACACAATAATCGTCTTCACAACAGATAACGGCGGTGCGATCAGCCACGGGGCATCTAATTGGCCGCTAAGAGGAACCAAGGGAACAATGTTTGAAGGAGGAACTAGGGCCGTGAGGTAGGAATATATAATAAATAAAAACCTCTTACTTTGAAATACAATTAATATTCCTATTCCTAGTGACAACGGGCAGTACAGTGAATCAAAAGAAATTGAGTCTTTGCCACAAGCTACAATTTTCTAATCCCTATATCTTTGCAACCTGACTGTATAAATCTTTGATATTTCAAACTTAGATTATTTGACCTAAATGAACTCCTAGCTTAAAATATCTACGATATTGGGTTGCAAAGATTAGAAAATCATAATTTGTGTCAAAGACTCAATTCCTTTGCGACCAAGTTCTAGTCCCGGTTGGATTTTAAGGAATGTCCAATTTGTGAGATAACTTGTGTTTTAAATGTGCTTGGTTCGTTTCTAATATGTTGACCAATGCACAGTGAGGGTTGAGTTATGAGTTTGGGTTTTCATAGTTATCTCGTTATGTCTGGATCTTCATATCTCTCTCTTAAGCTTTGTACATAATCACTGCAAAACCTAGATCTTAAAATATTCCGTCTCGCCCTTGACTATGTACAATTTACATAAATAGTTACATTGTATTCAATCAGAATTTAGAAAAAGCTCAAATAAATCTTAAAACTAAAATTTATTTAAACAAAAAGAGGATTTCTGAAAAATAACTAATTAATTGTAAAATATTTAGTTTTGTGCATGCTCCGGGATATCTAGATAAGACTGGATACACCAACTCCAGGCTTATTCATATCACAGACTGGATGCCAACAATCCTAAACCTAGCCGGATACAATCAGAATATAACTGATGAGCTTGGGCTAGATGGTGTGGATCAATGGCAGGCTATTTCTAGGGATGAAGAGGATGCAAGAGATGAGATGGTTTATAATCTCAAGATTGGTCCAGTCTCCGGAGCTATCAGGGACAATTTAGAAAAATATCTTCTAACATTTATTTCCCAATATTAACAGATTAATAATACATTCCAAGATTAAAGGGACCGTTAACAGTATTCTACTTGACCCTTCAGTTACAGCGTGGTATTTGCCTCAAATTCTTATTTTCTTATCTAATACCTTTGCAATCTGAAGTTACATCTTTGATATTTCAAATAAAGAATTTTACTTCAGATGAAATAGTCACAATTTGAAATAACGAAGATTTACTCATCAAAGATATAGGGATTAAAAATATGAGATTGAGCTCCATACCACCAGTTTTTATTTCTGATAGAAACCGTTGAATACTTTTTTATTGCACTTTTAAACGCTAAGGGCTGCATCCCTCCCCTCAGATCATGCTAGAATATTTTCTTGTCTAGAATTGGTGATTATAAACTATTGTTTGGGAAGAAGTTTAACAAGCAGGGTTGGTATGATGTAGACAACTCAGCGCTTCAGTGTCAAAGGTTTAATAAGAATAAGAAACAAAAGAGGAAGGACGCGGATGAAAACTGGGAAAAAAAGAAGAAGAGGAGACAGAAGGAGAAAAATAAATTAACACCTACGATTGTAGAAAAAAGTAAAAAGAACAGGACACAAGGAAGAAAGGAACATAAAGAAAAAAGAAACAAAAAGAAATCAAATAAAAAGAAAAAGAAATCAAAGAAAAACAAGAAAAAAACAAAGAAGGAACGACGAGAGGAAAAGAATGTGTCCAGAGAGAAACGAGGAGCAGGACGGAGAAACCAGGAGAAGGTTGAGAGAAGAGCAGAACTAAAGCAGGAAAAGAAGATTGTCAAGATATGGAAGGACTGGTTGCCAGAACCTAGTATACAGGAACAGAACCAGATCAGGTATTCATGTACAGATAATCTAGAAGTACTGTACATAGTGTACAGGAACAAAACCAGATCAGGTATTCATGTACAGACAATCTAGATGCACTGTACATAGTGTACAGGAACAGAACCAGATCAGGTATTCATGTACAGATAATCTAGATGTACTGTACATAGTGTACAGAGACAGAACCAGATCAGGCATTCATGTACAGATAATCTTGATGTACTGTACATAGTGTACAGGGACAGAACCAGATCAGGTATTCATGTACAGATAAGCATAATGTACTGCACAGTGTACAGAAACAGAACCAGATCCGGTATTCATGTACAGATAAGCTAGATGTACTGCACATAGTGTACAGAAACATAACCAGATTCGGTATTCATGTACAGAGTACAGATTTTCTAGATACAGTTCTTATATCGAATATTTGCACAGGATCACATAAAATGTCAAATATCACAAAACTTTTTTAACAGGTTTCGAATTTTGGATTGTAATTGGGAAGATTTTGAAGACTCCGGGCATACTGAAAACCTCACTCTGCAAGCAAAGTAAGATATCATTTTGATTTGTAATAACTTTAAACATTTCTAATCATGACAACTTTTAACTAAAACATTTTAATCTTTTATCAATACTATTACTATACAGGGTTACCCATAAAGGATGAGATTTCAGAGACGACTGTATGGAATTTATAATGTATGTTTCGTTCTTTGCCAAGTCAGTAAATAAACCAATAAACTACTTTATTCGAGGCAGTAGACTTATTTCAACCTTGGAATCATCATATTTAAAGAGTTTCGGGTCATCTTTAAAGTCTCATTCATTGTGGGTATCCCTGTATGAATATGATTTCTCTAGGATTGATAAACATGGAAATAACCTGGAAGTGATCACAATTATTAGTGAAGATCCTAATCTGTTTAATATACAAGCTGAAGACGAGAATACAGAGTTTGAGGAGGATAATCTAGACAGTAGAAGGTAACAAAACAATAGTAAAGATTTAAACAAACTCATTAAGATGAAAAAGGAATAATTCATAAGAAATGGTCCCTTTCAATAGGAAAGAAAAAAATTATGAATTGCCAGGATACATGAGAAAAAAGGTGATCTAGGAAACATAAGATAAGAGGAGATCTAGGAAACATGAAATAAGAGGAGATCTAGGAAACATGAGATAAGAGGAGATATAGGAAACATGAGATAAGAGGAGACCTAGGAAACATGAGATAAGAGGAGACCTAGGAAACATGAGATAAGAGGAGACCAAGGAAACATGAGATAAGAGGAGATCTAGGAAACATGAGATAAGTAAAGACCTAGGAAACATGAGATAAGAGGAGATATAGGAAACATGAGATAAGAGGAGACCTAGGAAACATGAGATAAGAGGAAACCTAGGAAACATGAGATAAGACGAGATCTAGGAAACATGAGATAAGAAAAGATCTAGGAAATTAACGTCAAATAAGAGAAGATCTAGGAAACATGGGATAAGAGGATATCTAGGAAACATGGGATAAAAGAAGATCTAGGAAACATGAGATAAGAACAGATTTAGGAAACATGAGATAAGAGGAGATCTAGGAAACATGAGATAAGAGAAGATCTAGGAAACATGGGATAAGAGGAGATCTAGGAAACATGCGATAAGAAAAGACCTAGGAAACATGAGATAAGAGGAGATCTAGAATTCATGAGATAAGAATAGATCTAGGAAACATGGGAAAATAGGAGATCTAGGAAACATGAGATAAGAGGAGATCTAGGAAACATGAGATAAGAAAAGATCTAGGAAACATGAGATAAGAAAAGATCTAGGAAACTTGAGATAAGAGGAGATCTAGGAAACATGAGATAAGAAAAGATCTAGGAAACATGAGATAAGAGAAGATCTAGGAAACATGAGATAAGAAAAGATTTAGGAAACATGAGATAAGAGGAGATCTAGGAAACATAAGATAAGAAAAGATCTAGGAACATCAGATAGGAGTCTAGGAAACATGGGATAAGAGGAGATCTAGGAAACATGAGATAAGAGAAGATCTAGGAAACATGAGATAAGAGGAGATCTAGGAAACATGATATAAGAGAAGATCTAGGAAACATGGGATAGGAGGAGATCTAGGAAACATAAGATAAGAGGAGATCTAGGAAACATGAGATAAGAAAAGATCTAGGAAACATTGGTTATGAAAAGACCACTACTAAAACCTAGTAAACGAGATTAGGAAGAAAAGAAAAACAATGAATAAAAGTGAAGAAATCTTTCTTATATTTACTTTTACAATCTGGGCAGTACTATTAGTGTAAAGATACAATATATATAATCACAGTGATCCTTCTCTTCTCCTGTCAAATCCACCTTCCCACCCCCACACCCTCCCTCACCTAGATAATATAACCCCCCCCTCACCTAGAATATACAACTCCTTCCTAACCTAGAATATACAACTCCTTCCTTCTCCCTCACCTAGAATATACAGCTCCTTCCCAACCTAGAATATACAACTCCTTCCAAACCTAGAATAAACAACTCCTTCCAAACCTAGAATAAACAGCTTCTTCTTAACCTAGAATATACAACTTTTTTCTNCTTCTTTAATATACAACTCCTGTCACCGAATATAATCCTTTACAATGCTTCTATAGGATTAGTTATGCTTCTTGTCTTCCCTCATCTTCATCTTTAAATTTTTCATAATTTTACAATTTTATTATAAAATAACTAATATATCAGCACGATTTGTGAGATTTATTGCCGACTTAGGCTTGTTTAAGTTTAGTTAATTTCTCACTGATATCCCAGAGTTTGCTGGCGTCTTCCGTACTCTGCGCTTCCTTTGACGTAGTTTCCACTCTACAATCACTATAGTACAATCCACTCTGCTGTCCTATACTCTCCTCTACACAGCAGAATATACTGGTCTGCGAACCATTCTCAGCAGTTTTCAACAACGGTCGACCAAGTTTGAAGATAAACCCAACAACAGAGCCGAGACTATCTGGAACATGCCTGCCAAGGTCGGTTTGGATTACTCCGGGATGAAGGGAGTAAGTATTTACTCCGGATCCCTTTAATCGCCTGGCTAGCTCTGTGGTAAACAAAATGTTGGCAAGCTTGGATTGTGCATATGCCGCAATTGGATAATATGGATTTTTCTCAAAAAACAAATCGTCAAAGTTCATTTTTCCTCGAATATGAGCTAGTGCGCTTACATTAACAATTCTAGCTCCAGGTGCACCTTTCAACAGTAAAGGTACGAGAAGGTTGGTCAGAAGAAAGTGTCCAAGATGGTTGGTACCAAGCTGCATCTCAAACCCATCCTTGGTTTTCATCTGAGGACAAACCATGATTCCTGCATTATTAAGCAATATATCTATCTTATCCAAGGAAACAAGAAGTTCTTCCGCGCATTCACGCACGCTTTCTAGGCTGGAGAGATCTAATATCTTTACGCTCACATCTCCTTTAGTATCCGTTCTTATCTCTTGAGCAGCCTGTTCTCCCTTCTCCTTACTCCGACATAGTAGAAGAACCTTAGCTCCTCTTCTACTTAGATCCCAGGCACTGTATTTCCCTATACCAGTGTTAGCTCCGGTAATCACTGCAATTTTTCCATCCAATCTCACCCTACTCTCACACACTGGTCCTTTCATCCATTGTCTGAAGAGGAGGAGAAAGGAAATAAGTCCAACTGATGAGATTAAAACAGTAGAGCCGAGAGAAGTGATAAGTTCTCCATGAGAAGAGAAATCACTCATACTGTATCCTGTATATTGTATTATCACCTGGTGGTGTCTTAGTTCGAACTAAAGATTTAGGCACTCTATGCTTGTTAGGTTGTATATAAACTGTTACTATGAACTACAGGTTTAAAAGCAAACTGGATATAACTTGTAATATCTCTGAGCACAGGAGTAGGACAGGTTGCAGTTTATACCGTTCATGATAGATGTCGGTTTGGTCGGACGGATGATACGCATCTCATCTGCAAGATATTTTAAATTCTATAAACTATAAGTAAATGTAAAAGTTGTAAAGGTATTATTCACATCACTAAATAATTATTTTCATTAAGTTTTTATGTTAATGGCTTAAAAGGATTTGTTTACGGGACAAAAAATGTCGAATGTAAAAAATGACATTGCAGGGCTATAAAGTAAATATTTGGCTTGACAAAACTGGCTGAATTTTTTCAGTGAACCCATAAGGACCCCGGGGTTCACATAGGCGAAATAAATTGTTTTAAAAATCTGGGCAACGCCAGGTACTCCAGTATGTAGATCTATAAATTATATATTTGTGATGTAAAGAGTAAATATATTAAAGTTTATGAAGTAAATATTTGTCAGATTTAAAAGTAAATATGTTCAGGATTAAAAAGTATAACTATTTATAACCCTACTGGTTGAAGGGAGGCGAGGTCTAAAGTAAAAAAAGTAAAAAGAGAAAAAGAAATGTTTTTGGCGAAAAAAATTTATGAGCCCCCTTCAACCAGTAGGGTTTTAGATAATTTTTTGGCCTGGAAAGAAAGAAGTATGAATTCAAATGTTAACACTATCAAAATAAATAAATACACAAAAATGGCACGTCAATTATAAAACATCTAATATAAAGTTTAAATTTTTTAAAAGTACATATTAAAGAAAATCCCAAATATTAATGCTGGAAGATGATCATTCAAAAGATTGCGGGAACTTCATAGCAAAAAATGTGCAAATATTGAAAGGTGTATTCAGCTGGGGTGACATTTTACTTTTAAACCCATAAGAAAATAGTGAAAATTTTACCCCAGCTTAGCTGGGAATATATGGGTTTCAGGATATGTTCACCATAGATTAAAAAGAGGCCACCCGGGGCATACAATATAATGATAAAGTAAATATGTTCAGGATTATAAAGTAAATATGTTCAGAGCTGAAAACTTTTGAATGGTGGATATCGAAATCAATGCTTGATCTCCTCTTTTTCTTAATCTCCAGATTAAATAATGCTAGTTCTCCTCCTGTTATTAATCTTCAGATTAATTAACCGATCGGGATTAAGAATATCCCATTCTATAGTTTTTAGCTCTGGATTATAAAATAATTATATTCAGGATTATAAAGTAAATATATTCAGGATTAAAAAGTAAATATATTCATGATTATAAAGTAAATATATTCAGGATTATAAAGTAAATATATTCATGATTTTAAAGTAAATATATTCAATATTATAAAGTGAATATATTCAGGATTATAAAGTAAATATATTCAGGATTATATAGTAAATATATTCAGGATTATAAAGTAAATATATTCAGGATTATAAAGTAAATATATTCAGAATTATAAAGTAAATATATTCAGGATTATAAAGTAAATATATTCAGGAATATAAAGTAAATATATTCAGGATTATAAAGTAAATATATATTTAGGATTATATAGTAAATATGTTCAGGATTATATAGTGAATATATTCAGGATTACAAAGTAAATATATTCCGGATTATTAAGTAAATATATTCAGGATTGTATAGTAAATATATTCAGGATTATATAGTAAATATGTTCAGGATTATATAGTAAATATGTAAAGTAAAATAAAAAATTATAATTATATAGTGAATACATCAGGATTACAAAGTAAATATATTCAGTATTATATAGTAAATATATTCAGGATTGTATATTAAATATGTTCTGGATTATATAGTAAATATATTCAGGATTATATAGTAAATATGTTCAAGATTATATAGTAAATATATTCAGGATTATATAGTAAGTATATTCAGAATTATAAAGTAAATATATTTTGGATAATAAAGTAAATATGTTCAGGATTACAAAGTAAATATATTCAGGATTATAAAGTAAATATGTTCAGGATTATAAAGTGAATATATTTAGGATTACAACGTAAATATATTTAGGATTATAAAGTAAATATATTCAGGATTATAAAGTAAATATATTTAGGATTATAAAGTAAATTTGTTTAGGATTATAAAGTAAATCTATTCAGGATTATAAAGTAAATATATTTAGGATCACAAAGTAAATATATTCAGGATTATAAAGTAAACATATTCAGGATTATTTAGTAAATATATTCCGGATTATAAAGTAAATATATACAGGATTATATAGTAAATATATTCAGAATTATAAAGTAAATATATTCAGGATTAAAAAGTAAATATATTTAGGATTACAAAGTAAATATATTCAGAATTATAAAGTAAATAAATCTAGGATTATAAAATAAATATATTCAGGATTATAAAGTAAATAAATTTAGGATTATATAGTAAATATATTCAGGATTATAAAGTAAATATATTTAGGATTACAAAGTAAATATATTTAGGATTATAAAGTAAATATATTCAGGATTATAAAGTAAATATATTTAGGATTATAAAGTAAATATATTCAGGATTATAAAGTAAATATATTCAGGATTATAAAGTAAATATATTTAGGATTATAAAGTAAATATGTTTAGGATTATAAAGTAAATATATTCAGGATTATAAAGTAAATACATTTAGGATTACAAAGTAAATATATTCAGGATTATAAAGTAAATATATTCAGGATTATATAGTAAATATATTCCGGATTATAAAGTAAATATATTCAGGATTATAAAGTAAATATATTCAGGATTATAAAGTAAATATATTCAGGATTATAAAGTAAATATATTTAGGATTACAAAGTAAATATATTCAGGATTATAAAGTAAATATATTTAGGATTACAAAGTAAATATATTCAGGATTATAAAGTAAATAAATCTAGGATTATATAGTAAATATATTCAGGATTATAAAGTAAATATATTCAGGATTATAAAGTAAATATATATAGGATTATAAAGTAAATATATTCAGGATTATAAAGTAAATATATTTAGGATTACAAAGTAAATATATTCAGAATTATAAAGTAAATAAATCTAGGATTATAAAGTAAATATATTCAGGATTACAAAGTAAATATATTCAGGATTATAAAGTAAATATGTTCAGGATTATAAAGTAAATATATTTAGGTCACTGAAGGATAGAAGTTTTGAAGAACAGTTTGATGCAGTAGATAGTGCTCTGTACAATATAAAGGAGGACCCGGAGGAGAGGATTGACGTGAAAGCTGAATACCCGGAGATATTCAACCAACTGAGGTAATTGGACATTTTTAAACTAGCTTTTCATCATTAAAATCTATATAATAAAGGTCTTCGCTCAAATATATTTTAATATATGTGTATATATGTTGCTGAAATGTAAAACATGAAACACAGTGTCCAGCAATAAACTATGCTAAATAAACAATAGAAAATGTTCTGAACTTATTTTAAGAAGATATATTTGTATATATATATATAATAGCTATAGCTGCAAAACGGCAAAATATTTTATCTTAAAAAATTCAATTATTTTTTAAATTTCACGAGTAACGTCAGGCACTTCAGCTAGTGGTCTATAAATCTAAGTAATTTAAAGTAACATTTTGTTTATAGAGTAAATATGATATGATTTTTTTTCTATGAAAATTTATCGATTTTATTTTTTGTTTCTTTAAAAGTTTTACCACTTTTCAACCTTAAAAATACACGATGCTATCCTCCTCATTATTTATCAAAATTGACAGATTTGTTCCTACAGAAACCACGGAAGATATTGCCAGTGTTAAACACTAATTATTTGTATGAAAAGTTTTTCTTCCGATACTGATTAGAAAATGTTCTTTAAACTATTATTATTTCAATAAATTTCATAAAAACTATTTATAAATAAAAAATTGTTCAAAATAATCCGCGAAACATTGCCAGTATTTACTTGCACCAAATCTTGCCAAATCTGACAAAGTTGGCAAAAAACAACTTAATATGTTAATTTTGATTTAAAATTCAGTGATGGTGATGGACCAAACCTCTGTAGAGTAAAAAAGTAGATGTTAGTTCCACATTTATTGAAAATATATTTCGGTCTATTTTACCCTTTTCATAAAATAAACTCTAGCAGACATAACACTATTTAGGCTTTTAAAATTAGGTATTACGATGCTAATTTATAACAAAGACGATATCGAATTCGTCACTGAATTCCCATGTTTTTTGGGACACCCTGTAGTACGTAGTCTGTATAATGTATACATTATTCCCTGTTTAGATCCCGTGTACTGTATCACCTCAAGAATATATCACCAGAAGATTTCCCTCCAGCAGATTTTTCCGGTCATCCTAGAAACTTTGACGGGGCTTTCTCTCCAGGATGGTGTACACCAAAATAATCCACTAACCCATTTTTCTCAGACACCCTGTAAGCTAGGATTTTTTTAAACGGGTTTGAACACCCCTAGCCATTATACAACTTATGGTAGAGGTTGTTTTTAAGTTACACAAAGTCGACTTCATGTGTTTAGTTGTATTGTGCAGCGTAGGCATCTCCAAATGTATGTATACAGATGATTCCTAACAACGTGTGCTGGAAATGTAAGACGACATAAAAAATCTGCCTTTACCACTTCTTGGACAAACCCACAAAGTTACAAAATCTCAAAGTTACTTTTTTTTTGTAAATTTACTGCTGAATTCAAATTTGAACACCATTTTTAAATTTAACCATATGAATAGGAATCAGAACACGAAATCTCACCAAAAGCGTTGCAAAAGTTAAAAGATTTTCGAATCTAATTTCAGGATAAAATTCGTAGAAAAAGAGGTGTAACATCAATTTCTTAATATTATTTTTCGGCCTATGTTGTAATTATACTTCGATATTAAATCGTCTGATCTATAGTTCCGTGCCTGAAACATGTCTGCAAATATATTTGCATGTATTTGCAACCTGATGTTACAAATATAAATAATTGTTGCTGTTTTATATAATCTGACCTAACTCTGTTTTCACCTCATACCTTTATTATTCAAAGCTGTTGTTAGAGATGTATTTGAGGCAGAAGTCTAGTTTATACTGCCCAGAGTTTGAGGAGAGCGAGTCCCTATATAACTTTGTATCTGCACAGTGCAAAGCTGTGCAGATCTGAAGCCTATAGCTAGGACTCTCTCGCTCAAATCCTGGGTTTAACATATATTTTAATCACAATATTTACTATGTTTGTATGTCTTAGATTTCTTACACAGCTAAACTATTTACAGAATCTCAAAGTTCTGGTTCAAATGCTTGTATCACGAGAAATTTGCATTTCTTGTTAAAATAAACTCTGATCTTCCATATCTTAAAGATGTTTTTTAACAATGTATTTAACAGAGCGGAAAACCTCTGCTGCTTTTAAAAAACTTTTCAAGTTGTTGCTTAGAAAAAAAACTTCGAGACATTTTCCAATTATTCTGTTTAAAATTTTTTTTTTCACAAAAATTATTACATTCCAAGTCTAATAAGTGTTATTAATTGACATTCACATCAGTTTGGTTTCATTTAATTTTGAAAATTATAATATTTATAATCAACGTGATACTTATGTTGCTCTGCCTTACTTACAAATAAATCTATATAACAGTTTTAATGATTTTTTAAATGGACTGAAAGTGTAATTTCAAGTAACTATCCATGCAAAGATAGAAATTTCCGGCTTATAACGATGCCCTTAAATCCTTAATCAAAAAACGGAAGATTACGTTGTTTTCGTTTCCTGAATTGAAAAGTGTTAAATTTTGATAATTTCTCCATTGCTTCTTATAAGCAAGAAATGCGAAATTCCCCAAATGAAAATAAACAGTTCAAAGAAAGAAATCATGGATATCTCCAATTCATACTTACTCAGACAAAACTATTAAGGGTACCGTTGTAAATCGGACATCTTTGCGTGGGGGTCACTTGAAATTAGACTTACAGTCCCATTAAAGAGCATATAAACAGTTTTTTTTTTACAGGGTGTCCCACGAAACATAACAGTTTCAAATGTCTTCTTCCATAAACTGCATTAGATTTAAAGAAAGTTGTTACAGTTTTTTTTCGGTATAAAAAATCGATTACTCAAATGAATGTTGCTATAATATGACTCCCATATAACATCTTTAATGTTCTGGTTGGTATTAACCCACTAGTGACGAGACAAATAATTCTTATCGGTCTTGCTGAAATTCACAGGGTTAACTCATTATACTGTCCATAGAGTAGATCTAAAGTTTCAATTTTTTTCAATGAAGGGTTGGGGAGATACAAAACCCGGCACATTTTGTCCGTCTCGGCAACGGTCAAAATTGACCGCCCGGTCAATTTTGGCCGTCTGCAGCAGGAAACGGTCAATTAATATTGGGGTAGGGTGTATACTGCACAGTGTGTGCCTAAAAACCGGCATTTCGACTGGGTGGTCAAAATTGACCTGGTCCGAGACGGGCAATTTTGACTGGGCAGAAAAAAAGGCTAAAAAGAGCAGTAAACATAAACTTTTTACACTGAACGTAACATTAGCATAGAACTAACATCAAATGCAAACTTTTCATAGAAATAAAAAAATGTCGAAAACAATTTTTCACAGATTTATATCTTTTAGGAGTTGGAGGTTCCTGAATTTGAATCTCTCCCAATTGTTGCTAGCTGCTCTATCACCCTATTGACCTGTAACATGCCTGCAACCTATAGGCGATACTCGGCATATCTAAAGGAAGGGCGGGAATGAAACAGGACGACATTTGGTTTAAAAATGAAGGAGCTAAAAAATAAAAACCTTACCCGGTCAAAATTGACCGTCTCGTCACTAATGGGAGTATTAAAGCTATTCACCCACTGTTATGTCTCGTGGGACACACATGTATCTCATTAGAGAGCAATGACAAGAACGAAAAATTCACATAAAAACTGCGTTAAATTGCAACCTCGTCAATATATTTTTATTCTTCCTGAGTAATAATGTGAATTATTTTATAAAAAGTTGCATATTTTTTAACGTAAGAACTATTTATAACCCTACTGGTTGAAGGGAGACGAGGTATAAAGTATTTGAGCCAAAAACTTTTCTTTTTCGAGAACCCTCGAGAAAAAGAAATGTTTTTGGCGAAAATACTTTACGAGCCCTCTTAAACCTGTAGGATTTTAGATAATTGTATGCCCTGGAAAGAAAGAAGTATGAATTCAAATGTTAACAAGTATCAAAATAAATAAATACACAAAAATGGCATGTCAATTATATAACATCTAAATTAAATTTTAAACTTTTAAAAAGTACATATTAAAGAAAATCCCAAATGTTAATGCTGGAAGATGATCATTCAAAAGAATGTGGGAACTTCATAGCAAAAAATGTGCAAATATTGAAAGGTGTATTCATCTGGGGTGATATTTTACTTTTAAACCCATAAGAAAATAGTGAAAATTTTACCCCAGCTCAGCTGGGAATATATGGGTTTCAGGATATGTTCACCATAGATTAAAAAGAGGCCAACCCGGGGCATAAAATTAACAACTCTACTCTCCTACTAACCGGATACAGTAATAAAACCGTACTAACTTTATGTGATTAATGTTTTTCTGTCTGTTATTAGAGTAAAATTATGATAGAAGTGAAGAACTTGGAACAAACTGCAATAAAACATGATGCGAGTTGTAGAGTTTAGTGACATTAAGATTAAGTGGTTTGCCAGGTTACAGTAGAGTGCAGGAGTCAATAAATTCATTCTATCCAGAGATCAGAGAGTTACAGAGATCAATTGAAAATATGCGATATTTTCTAAAGCATGGTATATTGTGTAGAAGTACTGTACACGACACGACCAGTCAGCAGACATCTGTATTCAGGGATAATTTTGGATCCTTTGGATTCGAAATACAAAATCTTAAAAAATAGACTAAATTATAAATTTTATGTTTCATGTTGAAAATTGGAGTATTTCTTTTTAAAAAGTTGTGAAACTTACCCCTGAGAGGGGAGGTGTTATATGCAACAAGCAGCCGTTAGACGGAAGTTATAAAACCTTTCATGGAACTGTAGCATGGCGTTCCGGACACTAAAGGCCTGCTTAGTCTATACACTATACAGGTAGAGCTTTTGAGCAGATATTTAATATTAGCAACCAGATATATAAACAGGGTGGCCCAAGTAAACAGGAATTAGCGTAAATGACTCGAAAATGGACTTTATATTCTATATTATATAGTTTTAGAAGGGGTCGTTTTAAGTAAGTTTTTGTCTTCCGATCCTTCTACAAAGGTGAAAAACTGAAGTTAAAAAAAAAAGAGAGGTTTTCAAACATTCGACATAGTATTACGATAGTTTCAATTGGAGCACTTTTTCGCGTTATTTAAGGATTATTGGTGGTTAAAACCCCTAATCCCTGTTTTGGGGGCCACCCTGTGTATATATAATCTATATATATTGTATGTATGTTTATATTATTAGGAACCAGATACATACATACAAAAATACAATTACGACGGTCTGCTTTAAAGATAAGATTAGAAATATATTTTTCTTCGGAAAATTATCTTCACGTGCCTGTATGACAATGACAATGACAATGACAATGACAATGACAATGAAAATAATCATCAATAAAAAAACAGATATGTCAATTTTAATCCGATATATCATTATAAACCCGAAAATTACAAAGATCTGCTTTGAATATAGATTACTTATATATTTAGGTCATTCTTGTGTCTGCGCCTGATATTTATTAGGCAAAAAGGCTTCTCTTGATAGTTCAATAGTTTCAGAAGTCGGATATCATTTTAAAATTGCCAGAATTACTTTCTTTTCAAAGACTCAGAAAGAATTGAAATCTTAAAAACGTTGTGCTCTGAAAAAGTTAAATAAGGATCTGAAAGAGATTAAGGAAAGGTTGAATGAAAAAATTGTAGCAAAAAGTTCAAAATTGGTTTTGAATTATTGTAAACAGATAAGTTTTAATAACGACACACACACTTTTATTTACCAATACCTATATCATTGGACTCTGATGTAGAACTATCAAACAATAAATTATTCAAGATTAAATCTATAAATATATCTTGCAATAGTCTGTCTATATCCAATTAGCGTTAGAACGGCTGAACCGATATAGCCTAAGTTTGAAGTGACGATTCCATGACCCCAAGGGAAAAACTTTGACGGGGAAAAAATGCCAACATTTAGTGTTTCCAAGAGTGCACCAATTCAATCAGAAAAAAACCGCGACAGTTTTTGTATATTCAGGGTGGCCAAAACTTTTTTGAACAAATCCGTACAAAAATCCGTACATTTTCAGAAGAAATCCGTACAATCCGTACAATTTTCGAAAAAAAATCCGTACAATCCGTACAATTTTTTTTTTAAATCCGTACAATCCAGATATTGGATACAGGATACTGAATACTGAATACTGAATACTGAATACAAGATACTGGATACAGGATACTGAATACTGAATACTGAATACAAGATACTGGATACAGGATTACTGGATACAGGATACTGGATTGATACTGGATACAGAACACAGGATAGTGGATTGATACTGGATACTTGATGCAGGATACTGGATCCAGGATACTGGATTCAGAATACTGGATACAGGATACTGGATACTGGATACAGGATATAGGATACTGGATACAGGATACCGGATACTGGATACAGGATACCGGATACAGGATACAGGATACTGGATACAGGATACAGGATACAGGATACAGGATATTGAACTTAATACAGGATACAGGATACTGGATACATGATACTGGGTACATGATACTGGGTACATGATACTGGGTACAGGATACTGATTACAGGTTACTGGGTACAGGATACTGGAACATCTTCTTGAATAAGCAATCAAATAAATACTTATGGAACATATTCTCAAATAAACACTTCTTAGACATATCTCGAAAATTATGAATGAATTTTGATTGTCAATTGAAACATTAATCAATCTAATATTATTTAGAATGCAGAAAATAAGTTAAACTAACTTCATTTTGACGAGAATTTTTTTTTATTTTCATGAAAAATTTGCTGAAATGAGTGAAAATTTAAAAAAACGGTGAATTTCCAGGATAAAAATCCGTACAATCCGAACAATTTGAAAACAAATCCGTAAAATCCGTACAATTTTAGGGTTAAAAAAAAAACAATCCGTACAATCCGTACATTTAGGCCACCCTGTATATTGCAGAGTACGCTGAAAATGTCGACTTAAAATCCAAAAGTAAAAAGCTAAAATTGTTATTTTAAAAAATGGCCTATAAGCGCACAGAAAGCGCATAGTAGTCTAAATTTCAAATATCAAAGGTTTACCATCAGATTGTAAAGATAAAAGGATTTGTGTTTAGTTCTGTTCTGCAAAATGTCTGATATAATTGAGGTTAACAGTTTGTTTAAATTTATTAATGGAGTGAGTTTGTAATATAGAATACATGAATGTATTGTGTACATTAATTATAAACCTGAATTAGAGGAATTAAATTAAATTAGGCTCCAACATAAAACCCAATTATTGAATTAAAAGATCAAAAACTAAATTTACGAAAAAAAAGATTAAAAAACTGAGATAGTACAAAATTATAGCAGAGACAAAAAAAATGAATGATATGAAACGACTATTACTAATCTGGGGTTCCAAAAAATCCTAATTGAACAAGAGAACAAGAAAATATGAACAATGAAAAGGGAAAAACTACATATAGCAAAATATACTGTATTTATATCACGAGATTGGTTTTAGCTTTTCTTTTCTTTAACATTTATTATTTATTTGTTAAATATTGTTTCAGAAGCAAGCTTGTGCAATTTGTTCACATATTTTATAACTTTCTTATTCTACTTTCTAGATTTAGGATCTATATATATATATATTAGCAGTATCAAGCTTATTTCATCTGAAACTAATCCAATTTTCTTGTTTTACATCTAGGTTTAAAATATAGGTTCTGTCAAATCTAGAATGTTGTTGAATAACACTGCATCTATAGGTTTCTCAGCTTCATAAACATTGAAATTCATGCACTGTACAGAACTGTACAGCGTACATGTAACGTCTAAACTACACGTACCGTGCAAAGTGTACATGCTACGTCTGAACTACTTTTACTTTACATCGTAAACCGTACACGTGACATCTGAACTACATGTACATTTGCACCTCTTGACTCTGATAGAAGCAAATATATGCATCGGAGATTAAACGCTTGGCTTGCGGAGATATTGGAAGGTTTGGGTTCTCCCGGAGAAGTTTTGCTCCCTCCTCAGACAGAATGTAATCCACCTCTGGTGCAGGAGTTAACTCAGGTATATTGTATCCGTTCTGCTCACCTGAATTTACAGTAATTATTACAATATAATATTTATGTATAGAGTTGTATGTCCGGTTCACAATGGTAACCCTTTTAACCTCAGTCAGATCATCGACGGCGGAAAAATCTATAATTTTTAGCTAAAAAATCAAAATTTTGTACTTATTAAACCGGCAAAGTGTAGTGCACACTATTTAGTAAATATTTACCAGAATGTCAAAAATTTTCAAAAATAAATTAATAACACTTTTATTGCATCCGGATATATTTTCCACAGATCCAAGATTTCTATCAAACTAGTTTGTAAATATATTACCATGTTGGATAAAATTGAATTGAAAAAGGTTCTTGGTCCCAAGATTGATTGTTCGAACGAATATGAAGATTGAAATATTGAAAAGTTAAATCTGATAAAATAAATCTTTTCAATTGCAGAATACAGAGTGTCAAGAATTTGAACCTTTCTGAAGGCATTGTGTAGTAGGGTGTCTCAAAATATAACTTTTTTTGGTTCCTGGCTCATTTTGGCCCACTGAATCTTCAAATATTTTTCTAATTAAAAAAAATAAAACCCTTCGGCCTTATCATTTTAAAAATAATTGAAAAAATGTGGTTTAAATCTAATTTCAGACTTTTCGCTTCCAAAATAATTTAAAAAATATTTTTAGATTTGGTAGACCAAAATGAACCAGATATGTCGTTTTGGGTCGATTTTAGAAAAAATTTAATGAAACTTAGCTTTTAATTAACTTAGCAATGTCTTTAACCTAAGAAAAATCAATAAGTGCAAAAACGATCCGAAAATGATTGTTACAACACATTAGATAAATAAATAAATAAATGAATATTTAGAATAAATAATTTAAAATACATTTGCTTTTCTTACACTAGGCTAAATGTTGACCCTGAATGAATATATAAACCAAAACCGACCCAAAAACGAACTAAAAGCAAACCACAAACAACCCCAATACGACCCAAAAACATCCCAAAAACGAACTAAAAACGATCCAAAAACGACCCAAAAAAGAACCATAACGACCCAAAAACGAACTAAAAACAAACCAAAAACAACTCAAAAACGAACCAAAAAACAACCGAAAAACGAACCAAAAAACGAACCAAAAAACGAACCAAAAAACGACCCAAAAACGAACCGAAAACGACCCAAAAAAAAGAACCAAAACAATCCAAAAAAGTCCCAAAAACGAACCCCTAGATCCAAGTAAGAGTATCTAAATCTAATTTTGAGACACCCTATTGTGCATATATTTGGGTAATGTTAGAGCTTCAAAATATGAAACAGAGGATTTGTTTAACACCAAATCCAGGTTTCAAAATGCAGACGACAAAAATTGCGAATTTTTACAACATATTTGATTTCCGTCGCGTACCCGAGCCAAAACAATAGGTTATCTTGTTATCGAACGTTATTAATAATCTTCTTTATTAATAACGTTCGAACCAAATTTTCTCTTTTAAAGATCTAAAAACGACAATTTCCTTATTGTTTGAAGGTTTAAAGGGTTCCACTGTGAATCGTGAATATACAACTTTGAACGAAGGTTAAGTTTAAATGACGTCTACAGTCCATTTCAGTTAGGACCATAGTTAAAGATAGATTGCGCGCATAAGACAACATTTTTCATCTTGAAAGATATAAATGTTGATGTTTTAAAGATATTCCTATTATATAGATTAACTAGGTCGGTTGTGAACATTGGCTGTTCTTATGTCATTGAGTACTTGTGGTGTACATGAGTTCTGTAGAGAGAAATTTAAGTTATAGTTTAGTCCTTCTCATGTCCTTCTTCAGTTCTCGTCAATATAATATATTGCTCAGTGAAATATTGTTGTTAAAATAGTTCCATTCCCGGAGTTATTTTACACTCTATTCTATGAAATCCATTAAAACACCAAACAACCCCGCTTATCATTGAAGTACACTTTGACCCCTAGAAGTACGAGTTCGCGAACTGTACAATTCTTGGCGATTTTGCGTACATAAGCTATCTATGTTTATTTATTTATCTATGGTTAGGACTCCCCAAATAATGCCAACAAATAGTCTGACTGCATTAACATTAATTCCATGCATTTCTAGGAAAGAATACAGGTTTGACAAAATTTTCTAGCAAACATTTATTTAAATTGAAACTGAAAATAACGACAAAAGATTATTTTTAAATATTGTTGTTGTTGGTAATTTTTTTTAATTGCCTAAATATATTTAATCAACGTTCGGAAACAGAAAAAGAAAAGTCGGTTTTAATTTTAGAAAAATAGGATTAGTATTCGGTCTAAATACACTTTTTAGAATCAGTTTGAAATCCAGATAAAAATAACATGGATCCTGATTTTATATTTGAATAAAGCTTTGATTTACCTTTTCTATCCGCCATGGAATCAAAGAAAGCCCAGGGAGATCTAATACTATCCCCACACCGTACAAAGGATACATAATGACTAGTCTCTATACACACAACAGCAACCAGCTCCATGTTTATTCTGGGGATCCTGCTTTCCTGTTTCCATCCTGGAGCTCCCTCCAACCTAGAATATATATTCATTATCCATCCCAGAGCAGAGCAGCCTCCAACCTAGAATATATATTCATTATTCCTGTTTCCATCCTAGAGCAGCCTCCAACCTAGAATATATATTCATTATTCCTGTTTCCATCCTAGAGCAGCCTCCAACCTAGAATATATAATCATTATTCCTTTATTTCCAAATAGGACTATAAGCGTAATTTCCAGTGATTCTCAGTGGCACATCTACCTCACATTAGTACCTTTAAAAGCTTTGTTGGAATACAAATAAGCTCTCTTTAAAAAATGGGTTATTTATATCTACAAAAAATAAATTGTGAACTTCTTGCTAGAGACAATGGAGTAAATTGTTAAAGCTGGAAAAACAACGATATCCTCCTCATTTTTTATCAGATGAAGGTTATTAGGGTATCGTTGTGCATAGGGCATGATTTTTTTAAATACTGTCCCTCTAACCTAGTACATTTATCTACAACGCTAGTTGTTTAAAAAGCTTCAAAATACAATTTATCTTTTTCACGTGAAATACTGAATAAATATATTTAAAAGTTTTGTGTCCGCTGAAACTGTGATGTTCTATGTCTAAGAAATGACAGGTTGGTTTATACTGCAGAGTTTAGAGCCAACATTATATTTTATTAGAAATTCTCCGCTAACACTAAGTGTTCGTTCCCAGCTTCATTATCCACAACGTAGGCTTTCTTACCAAACATAGTTGTAAAGAGAGGGGAGCAAATAATACAACGGGTATAGGAGTAGTATAGAGGTCAAAACTCTTTTGTAGTAAATCTAATCAGAAACAAATGTGGAATAGAAAGACGACATTTAAGCAATCTATATGTTTTACCAAAAGACTAAAAATCAACATATTTAATGAAATGGAACGGTATACGCTATACAAAATATTTATTGGAATACTTAAAACCGTAACTGGAGTCTACCAGTCGTTTTCCTATTCCAGAGTTGTATGGGTAAAAGATAAAAAAACGCATGTAACTTAAAAAGTAAAATATTCTTTCTATCTTTCATAAAGGCTATCAAAGCAAACGTGTTATTGGCTGACCCGAACTGAAAACTTTAGAATGAGGTATCCTTAATCTCGATTACTTAATCTGAGTATCCAATGGACACACTTTTGATTTTCTTCTTAAACCGTTCTTTCTTGGATATAGTAGAGAAAAAATCTAAACCCGGTTTTTTAAATTAGAGAGTCCCTCCCGTATCTGTATATAATCTTAAATGGCGCGCAAAATTTTAAATTTATCGGCTTCATTTTCGCGACTCTGATTGGTTGAATTTTATACAATTTTCAAGATATAAGCACAAGATTAGGTTAGTCTCGATAATAGGAAAAAGAGAGGATCAAGCATTAATCTCTATATCCACCATTCTAAAGTTTTCAGCTCCGGCATCTAAGAGCTTTTCAGCTGAGACTTTATAAATAAATGTGAAAGAAAGAAAAAATGTTTTCAAAAAAACAAAGGTGACAGATAAAAATTTATCAAGAAATCATGTATGCTAAAAATGAGAAATTAAAATTATTAAAGGAAACGAACCTTGTATGGACATGATGCTTTCTCTTTGCATGCTGATGCAATCTTATCAGACATTTATCACAGAACGCTGTAGATTGTAAACCATGCTCCTGGTCCCCGTAACACTGGGCGCATTCACAGGTAGCCAGCTGACCGCAAACGACACACTGGCGCGGGATCCCGGAAATAACGTCTGTTATGTCCAGCAGTTGTGTGGGAATGACCCTGTCGTACATCTTGAACTGACGACCAAAGCGCGGCATTTGAAGAATGAGAACAGGTGGGGCGCAGGTCAGCTTTACACGACTTGAAAGGAAGCTCTGATCAAACAGATNGCAGTCTCTATAAAAGCTCTGATCAAATATTGCAAAACAGAAACCTAAATTGGGGGGGAATTCTTTAAAAAAGGGAAAATTTCCATTATTTACCTGGAGAGATGGAACAACGAGTTCTGGATCCTTCTCTACAAAGAGTTGATATGTATGAGAAGATTGACCGCTAGAGAGCTCCAGGTACGGGTTGGCGTGCAATACCTAGCAACAAGCAATCAGAAATTATAAATTGGAATACAACCTAATAAGTCCAGATTTTATCGAGTGCGTGCAGTAAATGAACAAGGTATGGCTTGTTAAATTACATATTTAGAGCGTTTAATGCCTATAATCAATCATGTACGTCAAAAGTTGAAATACAAACTAATAATTTAAAGCGTGCGATACCTAATTTATTATTTATTAAAAATTAGAATACAATCTGAAATCACCTTTAAAAACATCAAGAATAATATCAAAAAGAATAAATAAGATTTTGGGAGAGCAATTTCAACAAAAAGATCTCTATAATATTCTTTAAAGAACTTTTGATAAAACCAAAACTGATTTTGATTCACAATTTATTATGAATTTTACTTCAAGCCCTCTGATACCTCTTTTAAAAAACAAAACTCTATTGTTAAAAATCAAATAAAGAAAGAAAGAATCAACAAAAAATGAGGTTTCAAAAAGTGCTTACTTGATTTAGAAGAGAGTTCAGAAACTCCTCTGGATCCTTCTCCTGATCCATGAGACCGGATACATTGCTGAGATTGTTGAGTAGGGTTCGGAGAGACATGACCCGGTCAGCTCGTACAAATAGACGCTGGCGAAGAGGGTTCACAATTTCATCCCTGAGCACACGCTGAACCTCCTCATACTGCAATTATTATTATCATCAAATAGCTGAAGTACCCGGCGTTGCCCATGGAATTTATTGAACACTTTTAAAATCCTCCCCCCCAATTTTCGAATTTTGAAAAAAAAAATTAGCCTATGGCACCCCCAGGGCAGCCATGGGTTTCCTGATAAAAATGCCAGCCAATTTGGTTTAGCCGTTTGGCTCATATATATAATATATATGAGCATATGAGCATATATATAATATATATGAGCAAGAAGCTTTATTATATACTAATTCCAAGGAAAATAATGAAAATTTTGAAAGAATATAAAAAATTGAAACAAAATTATAAATAATTTAGATTTTTTAACCAATGTCCGAAATTTTTTATGGCCAACTAACATATATATAAATAATATATATGAGCGAGCTTATCATATAAGACTAGTTGAAGTGCTGGTGTTGCCCGTGGAATTTTTGAAAGAAAAAAATTTCCGTTTTTTAGCCTATTGTTACCCCCAGGGGTACTCTACGAATCCTTCAAAAAATTTCAGCCCATTCGGTCTAGCCGTTTGGTCAGCTATAGCTGACATGTAAATATATATATATACACATTAATACATCAATTTAAGATTTAACAAGAAGAAATATTTTAAAAACAAAAAAAGTTTACAGGAACATTTTGAAACTCTTTTCATTATTATTATAGAATTGCGAATTCACATTTGGGATTTGTAAGAATGTTAAAATCTAGGTCAGGATTATAATCTACGCATTTAGGTGTTGAAATCAAATATGATGTGGAAAAGTGTGAAGTAAACTAACCTGTGGAATATCTCTGGGTCCCCTGGGTCTATAGAGTAAGGAATCAAACACACCGGTGAATGCAAACATGGAGAAGAGAGTAGCATCTAGATAACAAGAATTCTGATGCCCCTGGATACCACGATTCCGCCCTGCGACCTTACTTACTTCCGCCACGGCGGGATGCGGGGCGAATACTCCAGGTAGCGGCGGACAGTCAAGGGTTCCAAACTCTTGTGAAGCACCTAATCCAGATTCATTGAACCTTGGGTCAGGACGAACATGAGTCACCGGGACAAATACTCCTTTACCTTCGGGACAGGAGAACATAGATCTCCCCTGAAATAGGAAAGTGTTAAAGGGCCTGCTAGCGTAATTTCAAGTTAACCTCTTTTCAAAGATGGCAATGGCCAATTCACAATGGTACCCTTAAAAGTTTTGCCTGATCAAGTATGAATTAGATATCATTTTTACAATTGTGAAAACTGACAATTTTCAATAATGGTTTCTTGAAAAACAACAATATCTTCCACATTATTGATTAGATAATTGTTTTAAGGCTGAAGTTGTGAATCGGACATTGCCATTATTGAAATCATTTGAAATTAAGCTAACAGTCCCTTTAAATAAAATTCTATTAAAAAAAAAAAAAAAATACAAATTAAACACCGCTTACTTGAAAATTTAACAAAAATTGTATTGAGAAATAAAGACCTGCGTCAACTAAGGAATTGAGTCTTTGCCACAAACCCAAACCCAAAAATGAATTATTCAAGGTGTAACTATAATGGATATTGCAAAAACATTATAATACCAGATGGAAAAAGTTAAGTAAAAATATAAGAAAAAGAAGAAAAATGGATGATAGTTACAAAAATATAAGATTCTTTCTGAATTAATAATGGCGCAGGTAAATACGAGATTACTTGAATGAAAGGTTGGATAAAGGTTGAAAAGACTGTGTCCACTGTCCAGGCCTAAACCAATTCAATATTTTCTCTACTCCTGGGTTTATATATTCAATTCGAAAATTTTCATATTTTGACCTGAAACCTGCATCACAGAAATATATATTAAAAAGTCAGAAAGAAATAAAACTCAAATAAAGGATTTAGAATTGTTGGACAAAAATTCAAATATTTTTGGTTTGAAAATATGCTTCAAATTTTTTTAAATCCTGACTATTAGATACTTAATGATTCAGGATATTTCATACTCGCAAGCAAATGCGAATAATAAATTTTATTCTATAACAAGATTTTGACAGGTTTTAAATGGTCTTATTTTGTGCTGTGCTGTATAATTATCAAGTGTAATGTTAGTGAGTAGAAAGCCAACGTGTAGGTTAAATTACGAACTATACGAGAAATGTTAAAGGATAGGGAAGGGTCAAATGTATAAGGAAATTCTTTAATTAAAGGGACTGTACGCCTAATTTTAAGAGACCCTTTATTTATAGTGTCATGCCTGATTCACAACATTACCACTCAAAGCTGACTGAGATATCCATCTTTTTTAAATGGAGGGTCACTAAAAATTACAAGGACAGTCCTATTAAATATTTGTAAGACTGAAAGGAATTCATGGAATGAAGGAACGATAAGAACAGGTTGTAGGAAAGTATTTAGAACCGAATTAATGAATAGGACACACAGAAACAGTCAAGCTTAAAGGGAGTGTTCGCAAAAAATGAAAGGGGGTATAGGCTTAATGCGATAAAAAAGCGCTTTTGATCGCTACTTATCTTACTTCTATCTTCTACCGAAGAACGTAGTGTCCATACAAATTCGGAAAGATGCAACATTCAACCCGGATCGTAAACAAATCAATTTAATTCCAAACAAATCATTCAGATATTACAAACAGTAGTCATCGATTATTTTTCGACGCATTCGTAAATAGTTAATATTTCAAAATATTTTTGAATTGGTTGTTTCAAAATAATTTTCGCTGGCGCTGTATTTTCGAACATTCCTGGAAAATATGAAAATGTCGTCTTTATTATCAAAAATCCTAGAAACAGGAATAAATGTTTTCAAAAGTAATTCTCAGATTATGAAATATACAATATCTTCTAGTTCTACTGCAACCCTACCTGGAGATATCCTGTACCCACTCCAGGTACAATATCTTCTAGTTCTACTCCAACCCTACCTGGAGATATCCTGTACCGCCTCCAGGTACAATATCTTCTAGTCCTACTCCAACCCTACCTGGCGATATCCTGTACCCTCTCCAGGTATAATATCTTCTAGTTCTACTCCAACCCTACATGGCGATATCCTGTACCCCCTCCAGGTACAATATCTTGTAGTTCAACTCCAACCCTACCTGGAGATATCCTGTACCCCCACCAGGTATAATATTGTCTAGTTCTACTCCAACCCTACCTGGAGATATCATGTACCCCCTCCAGGTACAATATCTTCTAGTTCTACTCCAACCCTACCTGGAGATATCCTGTACCCCCTCCAGGTACAATATCTTCTAGTTCTACTCCAACCCTACCTGGAGATATCCTGTACCCCCTCCAGGTACAATATCTTCTAGTTCTACTCCAACCCTACCTGGAGATATCCTGTACCCCCTCCAGGTACAATATCTTCTAGTTCTACTCCAACCCTACCTGGAGATATCCTGTACCCCCTCCAGGTACAATATCTTCTAGTTCTACTCCAACCCTACCTGGAGATATCCTGTACCCCCTCCAGGTACAATATCTTCTAGTTCTACTCCAACCCTACCTGGAGATATCCTGTACCCCCTCCAGGTACAATATCTTCTAGTTCTACTCCAACCCTACCTGGAGATATCCTGTACCCCCTCCAGGTACAATATCTTCTAGTTCTACTCCAACCCTACCTGGAGATATCATGTACCCACTCCAGGTATAATATCTTCTAGTCCTACTCCAACCCTACCTTGAGATGTCCTGTACCCCCTCCAGGTATAATATCTTCTAGTTCTACTCCAACCCTACCTGGAGATATCCTGTACCCCCTCCAGGTATAATATCTTCTAGTTCTACTCCAACCCAATCTCTTTTATCTCCCACACTTCCTCTCCATCTAGAGAATTGTATATTTTATTCATTTATAAATACTCATTTTCAATTACAGATCAGAATTATGGAAAACTTTAAGAGGGAACGTGCACTTCTAAAACATTTTTCAACATTATCTTATGCACAAGATGCGCCAATATTTAGGACCAATATTAAAGCATAAATAAAGGATTCACAAAAGTGTGAAAAACGACATATAAACAAACATACATAATACTCATGTATATACATACATATAATATATGCACACATTGCAGCTATGAGCTTTATAGAATAGGATGAAGATTGAAAGGCGCTCAGGTAAGAGAAAATATTCAGCGTTGATTGGATTTAAATCAGTCAAGAAACTTCCCCCTCCCCCTCTTCTCTGACATTTTCCACTTGTTTTTAATAAATGTTCTTACTGAAGCAATCAATTATATTTGCACTTAAAGAAACTGTAAAAGAAGGTTGCTCAGTACTCACTCCAATATCATTATTAAATTAGTTGAAGTGGAGAGTAAATAAAACAGTAGGAAACCACATTTATGAACATAAGAAAATAATAAACTGTCATTCATGCAACAAAAAATATAGATATGATGACGACCGTCAGTGGCAGAGGGGTTAAAATAGTTTTTATTATTACCTGACAACTCCAAACACAGGTTGACCCGTCTGCTCTAGCTGAACCATACTGCCAACTGCTATGTGTACTCCCTCCTTACCCTCCTCAGTGAGCTGGTCGAACCTAGGAGTCTCCTCCCTTGGCTCTGACTGGTTGGAGGACTGAGAACCTGAGGGACTAGGTTTACTTAATATCTCTCCCCAGGTTCGGGTTGTGTCATCTTGGAGAGAATTCTCAATACAGGAGTTATTCTTTGTTCTCCAGGGTTTAGTTGGTTCTCCGCTCCATGGTACTTCCTTCACTCCCCGTCCTAGATCTACCAGGAGTGGAAACTCTTGTTCACTAGACCAAGGATCCTCGCTATCCTCTGAAACATTCAGTTTGTTTTAATTTACAATTTACATGGAACGATGATAGATGGTACAGGTTAAGAGAGGGAAGTTTAAAAGTAGTGGAGGAAGGTTTAAAAGTAGTGGAGGAAGGTTTAAAAGTAGTGGAAGAAGGTTTATCAGTAGTGAAGGAAGGGTTAAAAGTACTGGAGGAAGGTTTAAAAGTAGTGGAGGAAGATTAAAAGTAGTGGAGGAAGGTTTAAAAGTAGTGGAGGAAGGTTTAAAAGTAGTGGAGGAAGGTTTAAAAGTAGTGGAGGAAGGTTTAAAAGTAGTGGAGGAAGGTTTAAAAGTTGAGTAGTGGAGGAAGGTTTAAAAGTACTGGGGGAATGTTTAAAAGTAGTGGAGGAAGGTTTAAAAGTAGTGGAGGAAGGTTTAAAAGTACTGGGGGAATGTTTAAAAAAGTAGTGGAGGAAGGTTTAAAAGTAGTGGAGGAAGGTTTAAAAGTAGTGGAGGAAGGTTTAAAAGTACTGGGGGAATGTTTAATAGTAGTGGAGGAAGTTTTAAAAGTTGTGGAGGAAGGTTTAAAAGTAGTGGAGGAAGGTGTAAAAGTAGTGGAGAGGGTTAGAATTGGTGGAATTCGGGTGATGGAAGAGTAAGAACGGGTTGAGGTCTTAAGATAAGGGAGCTGCAGTACAGAGTTTTAGAAATATAGAAGAGGGGAAGGAATACTGGGAGAGAAAACAAATGACAGGGTTTGAAGAAAAAAGGGGATTTAACGAAAGATGATTTCTGAGGTTATTAGGATTGACAAGTGCAAGGCCTAAAGTTAATTATCAATGACGTCACAGTCTAAAATATGCTTTTACGTTTTCTGCGTAACTTTTAGTTACATTTACTACTTTTAAACCTTTATAATGTAAATTCTATGGATGGTGGAGTCTTTTTAACAATTTCTTCTTCTAAAAGATGGAAAGCTAGAACTCTATATATGTGTGAAAGCAAGTTTTGTGAACGAAACAAATTTTACTAAAAACACAAGCAAGCACAGAATTACGTCATCTCCTTACAATCATAAGGAAGAGGGGATAGGGGGGGTTATTATATCGGGAGGGGAATATTTAATAACTAATTATTCAAAACAATTTTTTTATCGAATAAATCAATAAATAAATCCATGAAATAAAAAATGGCGACTTCTGATGAATGAATGAATTTTTTAATTGTATTTAAACCATGTTTTAATTAACATTATTAAGATTTTCATTTAAAAGAATTCAGCCCTGGTTAAACTGTCAAAAAAAAAAGATTTTTTGTTAACTTTTGTTGGATACATGAAAATGAATTTTAAATGTGTATCAATGAATATTGGATCAGTATAATTGATAATGATTTAAAAATGTTAGAGAGGTTACAATATCACTTATTTGTCAAGGCAAAACATTCATTAGAAAAGAATATGTAGGAAACGAAAATGTTTTGAAATTCCTTTAAATATTTCTCAAGTTTGAAATGTAATTCTTAGCAAATACTCTTGGATTGCAAACTTTAAGTTTCTGTATTACATAGACTTAAGAAACTGAGATAAACTAGAAGTCATGTTAATATTTATCAGAATTTGTCGAGTTAACATCACTTCACGAGAAAAATAAACGTCAAGTAACTTAAAACTTTTTTAATTTTAATACTCACTTAGATCTTAACATAAGAAAGAATTTAATTTGATGGAGAACTAATGGTTCGACTTTGCGGCCTTGTAACTATTCTAATTCTGAATTTCAAAACCAAACGTGAAAAAAATCTAACATGTTTTTTAGGTAAGAATGTCAAAAGGTTTGTTTTCTGATCAATAATTGCTTAAAAATGCAAGATTTCAAAATAAACCGGTTTAAAGAAACACCAATGTGAATCCAATGAACCTCAATGAACCTGCAGACTTCAATGTAAATATTCTAAGCACTAGTTGGAAAACTTAATGGAACATTTGTATTATCATCATCGTTAAAAGATAATGAGGACTTAAAAAATGTATTTAATTAATTAAGATATGAATAATAGAAGGATCTATTTTGTGTAATTTTGAATTGAAAACGAGGTAAAGTTAATGATGTGGATAATTTTTCCATTTTAGTTTACATTTAGAGAAAGTACATATATTGAAGAACAGGGTATACAGACTAACAAACACTACAACTATGCTTTACTAGACTGAATAAGAATGTTTAGAAAGAAAAGTTTAGTTAACTCCCCGCCCCCTCCCCCCATCCCCCCATCCCCTTCCCAAGACTAAACTTTACAAAAGGAGGACAGTAAAAAAATCTTTAAAAAATAAAGAAAAAATAAAAGAAAAGAAAGAAAAAATTAGTTTTATGAACATTTTTTTTTAATCTTGGAAGTCAGCCAACTTCTGTGGTCAGTTTTACGCTTAGCCAATTATTGAAAAAGAACACCTGAAAATAATTTGCAACTGTTGCATATCCTAAATTTAACTAGTTCACACCTAAACTAAAACAATAGAAGAAAATGCAAAAGTTGCATTTAATGTTTGATCAGGTTGCAGGGTCTAATGTAAAGGGAAAGCATGGACTAAAGAGAATTTCTGAAATTCCGTCTAACTTCTGGAAACAATCCTTGTTCTCTTCAATCTGCGCCAAATCAATCGAGTATATATATATATATACTCAAAATTGTATTCTCTGTTTGTTTGTATGTCTCAGGAACCCAAGCAAAGTTAGGTTCCCAAGCTAATATACTACACTACAAATATGTTATAATATAATTTTATCATTGATTCGAAACAACTGTTTTGAGCAGACAAAAAACTGCATTCCTTACTTAAAACCTGCTTACTAATTAGTGTTTAGCTAAATAAACTTAGTCTTTACTATCTTCTTCACCCTGTAGTTCATAAACATGATTCTAATAACTTATGTTACCCTCTGTTCCAACCCTTACGCTGAGTATCCTCCCTTTTCTTTATACTCCCTCACCTCCTCCTTACCTTTTACCTGATTTATTATCATTCTTATGTTTAAAATGTACAATGTACATTGTTTTTATCTGCAATTCTCATTCGTTTATAGTGGGCCAACCAATTAAAACAACCTACTCTGGTTAGGCGGGTCCAAACTACATAGTAAATTGTGATTTTTTATTTGTATTATCTCGTGCTTTGTAGTTGAATAAAAATATGAATGAATAGAATATACACTAGAAATTTAACTAAATGTACCAGACAAGATATGTACATTGTATACTATGTACCACATGGTTCATTAACCAACAGAATAAACGCTGTACATTGTATACTATGTACCACATGGTTCATTAACTAACAGAATAAACGATGTACAGTTTACAGGGATACGGGATCATTTGAAGAGAGGAGTTAAAAACTTAAATGCAACCCAAAATGATTGAATTCCGCACTTTCAGGTGTTATATGCGTAGTAGAATTTATGATGTCGCAAAGACGTCACGGTAAAAGGTTTCTGAAAAAACCCTGAAAATACGCCTGTTGGAAAAAGTACCAATGTCGCTGGAAATAAAGTCCTGGGATTTGGATAACAAGGGGAGAAATTTGAGTTTAAAGAAAAATTAACCTAACCACTAAACAATTAGCTTGGTGTGCTGTAAACATGTCAGCTGTTTGTTTTACTCAAGCCTTAAAAAAATATTTTTAAAAAACGTGTACACTGTACACCTTACAATGCACATTGTACATATAGGCTCTTGTCAGCTGTGTACATAAACACCGTACAGTGAGCAATACAAATTAAAAGACAAACTTGAAAATTTGGCAAAACAAAAAATATTGGGGGGTGGGGGGTATCTAGACTACCACAAGAGACAATGCAAAAAAAATCATCGACGCGAAATCGTTATGAAATTATTTGTGACTTTATAAGTTATACAAAAGAGTTTACTTACGTTGATCGGTAAATTCCAGACTGGTCTCACTGTTATCTAGGAGCAAGCTACGCGAATCAGTTCTAATAAATCCGTCCTGACGAGATCCGAACCTGGATCCTTCCCTAGCGGAGTAATCAGTACAGCTGTTTCCTTCCAGTCGACTTGTACCACCTTGTCGACTATCTGTCCTGATAATGAGATTATCTAGATCCCCCTGTCGACTGTCAGAACGTCCATGGCGACTATCTGGTCTATCCAGTCCACTCCTAGGTCTTCCTTGTCGACTGTTAGTTTTGCTTTGTCTATTATCTCCAATACCGTACATCCTGTCTCCTCTACCATCGTAGTTAAGTTCCTCATAGGAACTTGAGGTTTCAAAACTTCGACCAGATACAAGTCCCCGCTCCTCCTTGAAATCCGAACCTGTCGACTTCCTCTGTTCTCCGGCAGGTTTATAGAGCTCTGGAATAACTCTGGGTTGGTTCCTTGAAGAATCAGGAGTTCTTCTTCCTCTCTTCTCTTCGTACTTATCCTTCTCATACTTCTTCTTCGAGTTTGGATCCCAACTGAATGAATCCTCGCCTCCACCAGTTCTACTCCGACTCCAGTCTGAGCTTTCGCTTGGTTTTCTCCGCCCAGGGCGGACAGGCGGAGCAGGATCGCTCTCACTCTCAGCATCCTGAAGAAAAAATTATGTTTTTTAAACGATAACTTAACAATTATCAAACAAATATTTAATACATTTTAGCTTTTCCTTTTCTTATTCAAATTCGTTAGGTTAAAATCTCTCATTCAATCCTTTTCCACAACCTAAATAACAACCCCCCCTCCCCCTTAGGACCCTAGTGGAATCATCTATGTTTCTTTAAAACCTGAGAGAACACAATCTCTGGGTATCCACCACTACAGCTGGAACTACTAGAGATACTAGATTCTTCTGTATCCTCCAGAAACAAATCAGTCTCAGTTAAAGGACAGGACGGTGTCCTCTGGAGAGTAGGGACAGATGACGCCATATCCCATAACGAGTCCTGCATCAGGGTTGGGACGGAGGACAAAGTGTCCCATTGAGATGAGGTTGCGGTCAAGAAGTCTGATATGACCGTAGGCGCAGCTGTTGCCCAATCCTCGGTCATTGTACTGGTCATAGCAGATACAGGACGAGACAGTCTTCCAACTGATAAACTAACCAACTAACAGAAAGAAAAATGGAGAGCACATTTACCAAGCGTAAGTATTGGTTGAAAAGATATGTAGAATGGTTTTAAAGTTTAGTGGTATGTATCTGAATAAAAATAATGAAAATTTAAATCCTATTTTCAGTCGATAAATTAAGTTTTGTAACTTCATTTTGAAAGCAAACATTCTAATTCGACTACTTATCGTTCTCTGGTATATAAATATTTTAGATGGTTATGGATTGTTTCCTTGTGGTTGGGTGATATTCTGCGGAATAGCTCCAGGTTCACAATACATCTGATGTTCTAGACCAGGCATATATCCGGCTCCAGACTGGTTCCAGGTTCCCTGGTCAGCTGACCAGCCTGTATTATACGCCGTGTAGCTGGTCAGATACATCCCGCCCGTCCCGGGGTTCACGACAGACACACTAGACGTCCACAGGGCCGGGGACATACCTCGACTTATATGAGATGGAATATTTTGATGCATTGTATTAATCATGGATGCATAACTACTGAATGAACCATAGCTTTCTACATCCCCGGAATACATATTCATGGTGAGAAGTTTTAGAAACCTTAAAACTATTTCAAATAGGTATATTACTAGTTGTCTGAATGGTTGGTACTTCTTTTTTTACAATGTTTCTTTTAGTACAGACCGTCAATATTTACAGTTCTTTTGGGTCTCATCGCAACTATTTTGGCATCAGTAAAAAAAAAAAATATTTTTGCCGTTTCCGCAAATATATTCACGTTACATGTTTAACTTGTTTTTAACTATTTTTATACCGGTTCTTTAACTTATATTGTGCCGGTTTATTATAACTATGTGTACGTTAGTTCCATAGACCAGGTTTTAAATTTCTCTACGCCTGTATATTTCAGATGTCAACCAAAGGGTTGTTTCTAACTGCGAGGAAAACCGAATGTTTAATCACTGAAGCTTATGTAAGCTGTTTTGAATGATAGGATGATAGGATAACGGAAGTATACTAAAAGTAGAAAGCTATTCCCTTCACATTCTTAACTGGAATCTATTTGCAGTTACACCTGCAGTACTATCTCGAAGNCCTGATTTTTTATTTATCACGCGAGAAGTAAAATAAATCAAATCAGTTACAAAAATTATGATTAAAAGGGAAAACGGATGAAAACCTCTGAGCACAATTTTGTAAACAGTGAATCGAGTTAATGCAATCCCCGAACTTGACACATTCCCCTAAAGTAAGGGGTTGAGAGGTTTTTAAGGAGGTTGGCCCCTTTCCAATTTAATCCCTGCACCCCACCTATAACAAAGTAATTAAACTGTGTTCTAAACTTTACTCAGAAACCGGCACAGATAAGACTAAGAAAACATGAGCTAATACAAATACATGGTCAACAGAGGTTGAAAATTTTGAATGAATGTAGTTAATTATTAACTCCTCCATACCCCCACCCCCCCCGGTGGGCAAGGAGAGATTAACTCAATCTTTATTTTACCAAACTCATCAATGAGTGTAGTAATAGGGGGGGGGGGGATTGACAACTTGTTTGAATTAAAGAAGTAAGAATTCCAGCATTTATGAAAGGAATAACAGACAACGAGATTAACTTCATAAATGAGATTTATCAATTTCCGCTTCTCTATCCTCAAACAAAGTTTATTAAGTTCTACAACTAAAAATGTTTTATGAAGTGTTAGTTTTACGGATAAAATTTACCCAGTCATACTTATTAAATAAAATTATTAATAATTTTTGTTTCTTGCTCTATTTTAAACCTACTTTTACTGTAAAGTGTACGTTGCAAACGGGACTCAAACCAGGGAATAGGAATAAAGGGAAAGGAAATGGCACTGGTCTGGCATGAGAAAGCCAGTCGCATTGCTTTGCAGACCAGTACGGTAAACTTTACACACACTCTTTTGGTACAGACACACGCACATGACGTTTCCGCCCCCTGACTGCGCTTGGGACAATTTAGAGGTAAAATATGTCTCACCCATGTAAAATATCCCTTGAATATAAACCATTAGATACTTGTCCCGCAAAAAAAAAAATATTCCGCACTTTCTAAATCAGCCGTACATTAATAGTTATAAGGGTGACCCAAGGGTTATCGAGATATTATGAAGCATAAACTTCTTTTTTGAACTTTTCAACTAAAAATGAAAAACTAGAATGAACTTATTTAAGTGCTAAGAATCCATTTCATTTTGATGTATATTGAATCCGGATCCAGATTAAAAACCGTATCCTAAGCAAGGTTATAATGCAAGGAAAGTTATTTCAGAGGTGTACGGATCTTTTGTACTGCAGTGTACTGTCTCTGGGTGGTAATGCAAACACAAGACGGATGTCGAAGCCTGACATGGGATCCATCTTTCACAAAAAAAATCAATGAAATATTCTGGTCATAGGAAACTATTATGTGAATTATCAAAATTATCATTTAATTCTTTTAACCTCCTTGGATACTAAACGAACGTTGATGCATCTATTCTTGTTTACAAATTCCGCCCAGAGAGAACTAGTTTCAATATGTACGCAGAGTATACGCAACTACAATTAACTTTCCTTTCATTAAAACCTTGATCCTAAGCAATGATTTAATATTAAAAGGTAGACAATCGTTACCTGTATATTCTGAAATTTCTTGAGGAATTTTGATTCTTCCCTGTAACATTTATAAAATAAAAATAAACCGTATAAGTCTTAATAATAATCCTTCAATCTTTAGAAATCAGACTTGAGCTACCGTCAAATTAACATTCAATGATTTAACACAGTTTTAGCTAAGTGTAAAGAAATAATTTGATTAAAAATAGATTTTAAAAATAAATGTTTTCCTGTCGTATGAGTTGATATTGTTGTTGTTGAATCTGTTTCTAGCACTATTGCTGTCGTAAAGCTGAACATTATAACGATTTGACTCTATGTTGACGCGTTTGTTTAAAGCCGACTGACCGCACTGTATCGTTGTATTCGACGGCTGACCGAACGCATCTGACGCATTATATTTTTGATTCTTCTCTGGGTGTGCGTAAACACTGGATCTACCGGGTAGGTTGGGTCGAGACCCAAGCTGACCGGGCCGCGAAGTATCACAAGAATTCTGACAAACTTTGATCTGACTCATATCACAGAATATTCCAAACTTTTTCTAAATAAGAACAAGTTAAAAATTGTTAATTTTAATTTACTTTTACTGATATTTTTCAAAAAAATAGTAAAAAACAACAATTTTTAATAGCTACAAGTTAACGCAATAAGTTGTTTGGTGGAAGAAAAGTTTCAATAAATTATGATATTTACTCACAGGTTAGTTTCAATATGAATGAATGAATTAAATGTTTTTAACGTGAACCAAAAATATATAAAAATATATAAAATATATTTACCTCACAAGGTACATTGAAATACGTTTTCCCTCCCTCTACCCCAGTTGTAACTCCGAACTGCCAGCTATTTTCCTAAAAACAAAGAAATTGAGTCTTTGCCATAAACTAAAATCCCTATCCTTAGCAACCTGATGGTGTAATTCTTTCAAACTTAGATTATTTGACTTAACAGATGTCACAACAGATGTCATAGTTTGAAATATCTAAAGTATACGACATCAGGCTGTAAAGATATAGGGGCTTGATATATTTTTTTTTATTATAAAATTTCCTAATTTTTTTCCATGTACAATGTACATTTTAACATTACAACGGTTATGTATGTGCTAATATGCAGGGCGGAGTATATAGAGTTGTAGTTGAACTAAGTATGACTAAATTAACCACTTATCTACTTGGTCCAGAATGCCCCAGTGAAGTAGTTCAACTAGCTAAAACTAGTTCAACCTCTTCTCTATATGTATTCCATCAAACTGAGTACTAGCTTTCATTATTTATAGGTATTTATTAATCGTTACGAGTTTACTCACCAGTATCTCTAGTCCAAGAACCCAACCTGATCTTCCATCTGGACCCTGACCAAGATATCTAACTAGACCTGGAACCTCAGGTTCTCCTGGTCCCTGGTAGATAACCCTAGATCCAGTTTTCATCCTCGCTAGATCTTTAATCCTTCCACTCTCAACCTCCTGGTATCTTTTCTCCTCACTAGGAATTCCTCTGAATATAATTAACCATGATTCATCAACCTGATGCAGTTTTTTGTATCAAATAATAATTCAAAATAGTAATTTTCTGCATCATCTATACCTCCCAGGACCGAATTTAATGAATTTGAGCTACGTCACTGAACACCCCAACATGCAGGTTAAAATTTGAACCACCGATTCAAGGTTTAAGATCAAGGAAGTATTTAAATCGGTGATTTAAATTTTATCTGTTGGTAGGCAGTTCAAATTCATTGAATTCGGTCCCCGGTCTTATCAGGAGTCTCAGGAGAAAGATCTGGAAGCCCCCCCCCCCAGTTTGGAGGACCCAGACCGTATTTTGATCTTCATCTTCCGTTTGGATGGTTACTTTGGTACTGATTTTTTAAACTTGAGTTTTATTCCAGTTTAACAATATCAAATCAATTAGACATTCATAATACTAATCTCAGAGAAAATGCGATTAAAAATAAATTAGATGGCGAAAGGTGAAAGGGAGACAAAATATAATATATTTTCTATATAATTTTTAACCTAAGAAGTTGATATGTCTGGTCTCCTCTTCTTCCTACCGGATACAGATCTGATACAAGCGGAACCATCCGAACATTTCTCTGATCCAGAACCTTTACCTAGAATAAGGAAAAACTTAATGATATTTCAAACAGTACAAAAGCTCGTATTCTGAGATTTTAAAATCAAAAAATCAAACAAAATTGAATGATGGGGTTTAAGGATTGCTTTAGGCTCCACTAAACAACCTGAGCTGGGAACTTTAGAATGGTGGATATCGAGATCAATACTTGATCCTCTCTTTTTCTTAATCTCGAGACTAACCTAATCTTGTATCCTGAAAATTGTATAAAATTCAACCATTCAGAGCCACGTATCAGAAGCCGAGAGTTTTGAAACGTTTCGCGCCATTTAAGATTAATCTACAGAAACTAATCAACCAGGAGGTTCAAGTCCTGACTTGTGTGTGTGGGTTTTAACCCCGCATCTGATTTTAGTTGAGAATGTTTAGAAAAGTCTTTTTGCCATAAATACAAGGTTCAATGAAATCTATACTTTTTAACTGACCATAAACAAACCAATTCCCTACGTCAGATTCTACAAAAAAAATTAGATTTCAGACTTCTTTAAAGATTTCAACGTCATCTTTAAAGTCTTATCCGTTGTGTGCGACCTGGAATATGTTTCATCTTTACAACATCTATAAATAAAATTAGGTCTTATAATATATTTTTAAACAGTTTTTAAAATACGTCATTAATTCTACAAATATCCCCCATAAAAAACATTTAAGACTTTTGAACTGACCTGAACCGAGGTTTGATGAAGAATTTCTCTGGTTCCATCAGATATCTCCACCAAGCTTCCTCGTGGTACTAGAGTCTTCTGCTTATCAAACCCAGGGGTTAGGGCCTCTGAGCTAATCCAGCCCTACAGAAAACAGAACATAAATAGGTTTGGTTGGACAGTATTTTACTTTCATAATAAAAGACGAATAAATAACTGTCAAGTTACCTTTAGTCTATAGATGACCTTAACCTATTCACAACAGTACCCTTATAACCCTTTTTCTAATCAAAAATGTTGAAGATATCGTTAAAAAACGAGAAATTCTGACAATTTCCTTCATTATTTCTGAAAAAGAAATTAATCAGTCACTTGAAGAGAAACGTGAATTGAAAATGAATAATTTTCGAAGAGAGATAATGGATACCTCATACATTTTTGATCAGAAAAAGCCTGTAAGGGTACTACTGTGAGTCAGACATTTCAAACTATACAGCATACATGGATTCACTTGATGAAAATTGACATGAAACGATGTTTAAACTCCAAATTAGCAAGTTTTTATGTTTCATTTAAAAATGAATAAATAATCTCCCTTTTTAATCCCTTTTTCATACCTGGCCTTCATTCATTAGCAAATAAATGAGCTTCCTCTCTTCAACTCTCATCCTGGTCTCTATCTCATTTTATCTAAGTAAAAGTGGCGAAGGTAAAGTAAAAAAAAACTGATTTTTCCGAAACATACAAATAATCCCTCCGACAATATGAATACTAGAAGATGAATACAAAGTAAATGTTTGATAGACCCTGAGTTTAACTGTGCATTGTTTAATTGGATGAGAGAGCAAAGCGGAGTAAGGTTTCAGTCCCACGTCACAGGTATTTATCCAGGACGTGCAGTTCTCTTTCTTCGCTTCATTCTCATATCTTGGGATACAAGACATTCAGAACCATTTGTTTATACACAAGGTTAGAGCATTATCCTGCTCAGGGTATTCCTTATCATGGTAGGATTAGAATCAATGCAGATCTCCAGGTAGTTCAGAGAATACAGATTTACAAAAACATTCCTCGGTTTTAGGTTTACTGTAGAATATATCATATTTATCCATGCTATAGTTCTGACATTGTACAGGATAATGTGGTTCACTTAGATATTTCACATCGAAATATGAATCCTGGAATACATTGGAGTTCACAAACAATTCGAGTATTTTAGATTTCTTAAAGAAATTGTCTGTTTTAATCAAACTGCCATAATCAAGAAAAAATAATGAAAATCGAAATAAAACAAATTAAAATAATAATGCTCGATAATTAAATAACTAAATCACCTAAAAATTTACAACAAAAACTCAGGAGGTTCTCAGAAAAATGTGAGTACATTCTGACATACCGTTGTATTATTACAAAAAAGCTTGACTAGAGCTAGGACATGAATCTTTCTGGGATGTCTAGAATGTTCTTCGAGGCTGCTGGAGGTTGATAGAACGGAGAGAAGACCCGTCCTCTATGGTTGAATGTGTAGAATGAAGGACGGTTTCTAAGGTTCTCCCAGGATTTTCCTTCCAGTTCTACTGTAGCTCTGATCTCCTGGAAAATATGAAGAAACTGAAAACAGGATTAAAAAATAATTTCTCTCCCTTGCATAGTAAAAAATTCAAGGCTTTGCGAAAATATACTTTATGTACACAATGAGACAGAATTTAAAAACTCAGTGCATCGTAGTTAATTCAGGAAACACTGGATAATTTTACCCATATCATCCAAACTTTTGCAAAACAAGGGGTCCTCTTAGGAGGGATATTCTTGAAAAAAGAAGTGTTAATTCATTTAAGTTGTCAATTCCCTCAAGATACATTTAAACCTATCTATTAAAACTGACCTTGAATTCTCCAGCAATATATAGAACACCAAACATTGTGAGAAGTAGGGAAAGAATAGTCTGAATTCCAATATCTATTGGTAGTAACATATCCTGCATATCCGCGTACCTAGAGTAATAATTTGTCAGGATTATATACAATTTGGACTGGTGTTCTTAGTCAATAACACTTGTTTAATCTGTTGTTACGTTATGTTACATTTTTCTAGGATTATGACTGGAAACAGTATCAGGAATATAACTCGAAACAGGAGTAGGACTAAGACTAAAAACAGAACAAGGACTAAGACTTGAAACAGTACGAGGATTTAAACTATATACAGGACCAGGATCAAGACTTGAAACAGGATCAGGATTAAGACTTGAAATAGGACCAGGAATATAAATAAGAACAGGAGTAGGATTAAGACCAGAACCAGGGCAAGGATTAAAAACTAGAAACAGGACCAGGATAAGGCTCGGAGAAGGATTAAGACTAGATACAGGACCAGGATTAGGACTATAACCAGGACCAGGATAAAGACTATAACCAGGACCAGGATAAAGACTATAAACAGGACCAGGATTAAGACTTGAAACAGGACCAGGAAAAGAACTAGAAACATGACCAAAAATAAAACTAGGAACAGGAAGAGGATTAAGACTGGGAACAGGACCAGGAATAAGGCTAGACACAGGACCAAGATAATGACTAGAAATAGGAAGAAGACTACCAGAAGTAAGACTAGAACCAGGTCTGAAGAAAAATAAAACTGTACCTAGATATCTGTCTCCATTCTGCAGCAGAGTAGGCAGCGTGAACTAGACAACCTAGCCCTGAAACATCAATGGTTTTTTTTACATAATCTTTGGGAATAAAAAGATTGCTTTCGTAAAATAAACCTTGTGGAAATCATGACGAATTTTGTTAAGAGATATTTAAAAAATTGATGTTGTTAATTCACCTGTGAACACTATCCCTCTGTAAAAAGAATTTGACATTTTGAAAAAATTTTCTGAAATTAAAAATATGATTGTTTGTGAATTACATAGATAGTTGAGATTATTAGAATATGTGATAAACAAAACATGCTCAGAAGAAAAAAAACTAAAAATTAAATTTACGATTTACATGATGTATTCAAGGGAGGCGTAGCATCTGGTTAGGACATTTTTTAATATCTCAATATATAATGGTGTTAGAAATAAAGCTATGGGGAAAAGATAATTAAGAATAACACCAAAATAAAAAATACGATTTACAGTGTGTACTGTGTACTATGTAATCATAGTTTAAAGCGTAAATGCAATTTGTGTGATTTTTTTATAGATTTTTACTAAGCAAGGAGATAGGACGCGGAGTATTACAAAATTTGTAAGGAAAGCAAAAATTTAGTTTTTATGGGTTCAGAAACATTGAACGCTTATAGAGAACGTCTGACCTTCTAACTAGCTAACTAACTAACTACATAATTGTCTAAGTTAATAAATTTTTCTCCATCTAAATTCAGCTGTAATAGTCTTGGTGCAAAATCAAGGTATTTCTCTAGGAGAAGCATAGCGGCTAGGATGAATTATCTATAAAATATCTGGTAGTTGTTGCTCTGGTAGTGATTGATCCTCCTCCTCCTGGTTTCCAAGACTTACCGGAAGTCGCTGCTCCGACGTATCCAGGTCGCGGGAATAATCCATCGGAACAGCACGATGGGTTGGAGCTGGTTGCCTAGGTATTGGCTCCAACGTGATTCCGAGTAGTCTTGATGCCTCAGCAAGTGGTAGAGCAAGTCCTTGATCTGCGTGTGCAGGAATATTAAGAATTGGAGCGGGAGCAGGAAAGGTTGGAGCAGGAACTATAGAAGGACCATCAGTATCCCTAGTATGATGTCTCCGAGACCTAGAACGGTCGGAATCTCTGTGTCTAGTGGAATGTCTATGATGTCTACTAGATGATCTGCTCGAACTACTCCCTGAACCAGATCTTGAACCATGAGAACTACTTCTAGACCTAGATCCACCCTCGGAGGAAACTGGAACAAGATTAACTCTAGTTCCCAACCTTCTCAGGGCTCCCACTAAAGACAATGCACTGTTACTCCTAACCACCCCTGGTCTAGTTTGGGAGGGGGCGGGCATTCCTTGGCCTACATAGGGCGGGACAGTGCTCCGAGAAGGAGGTTCATCTCTTCTAGGACCTTGAGACAGATCTAGAACTTCTGCTTGATCAGGTACAAGAGCTGGGAGCGAGGAGGTGGTGGTGGGTGCTGAGAGATTAGGTCTCCCCGTCACACGTTGATATCCTTGCAATTTATCAGGTCTCACCAAAACCTGGTTATTTGGAGAACTTTGTCGATTAGATCTCACCCTACCTCCTCTCATCTGTGTAATAACCTGACTATAAAGTCTGTATTCTTCTGCGGAGAGGGGACGTGCATCTTCTCCTAGTTTATGTACAGGGATAATTCCTGTTTTACCCTCTCGGAGGAGTTTAGAGGCATGTTTGTTTTCATTCCCAGTTTCTCGGAGATTTCCCAGATTTAATAATAAATTATCTCCGTAATCATTCTTTCGCAGAGCCTCCGGTCGCTCCGCGTCCTCCATCTGTGGAACAACCTGGAGATTGGTTGGAATTGGAGACATATTTCTCCACATCAGAATAATACTCTCCACACTGTGCTTTACCTGTGCAGCGGTCTGACGTTTCTCCGGGTCCGTGACAAGCAAGCGTCGGATCAGATTCCGTGTATCCTCACTCACTCGTCCGTCGTCCGGGATAGAGAATTCGGCAGCCTTGATTTTATTAAACAGTTCCTGAGGAACGCTATCGTAGAACGGAAACTGTCCGTAGAGCATTGTATAGAGAACCACACCTAGAGCCCACATATCACTGGGCTTACCTGAAAATAAACAATGCGTCTTATCATAGGCTTTTTCAGGATTTTCAAGCTTTCGTTAATTTTTGCTTTGTAGAAACAGATAAATACGTAAAATAACTTTTCTTCATAGTTTGTTTTCCAACATTTGAGATTATCTTAGAGTGGACGTGAGTAAACAAGTTGAGACGAGTGTTGGAAAGCAAACACAATTTTAATCTCTAATCTCTACCTAGATAAGGTTTTCCACTGAGTACATCTGGAGAAATGTATGCCGGTGATCCTCGTTGATCCTTGAGAAGATCATCATCACGCATCAGATGTTTACCCAGACAGAAGTTGGTCAAGGTCACCTCCTGGCTTCTCCGATCCAACACAACATTTCCCAGCTTCAGATCTCTACCAAGAAAAATATTATACATTATAACTGATTAGTATTACTTGTCTCAACCTAAAGTTGTCTAATCCGTATATCTTTGCAACCTGATGTCGAACCCATATGATATAACAAACTACAAAAGACAAGTTTTTATTCTTTTAAAGGGGGGGGGGGTTGGAAATTATTTTTCGAGAAAATGGTCAATTAACGTTTAAAATTTCAATTTCTGTATTCAGGAGGAAAATTTCGAAAATTATATTTCTGCGACAACATTGTGCCTCTTCTTACGTCTTTTATTCTTAATTCCAATCTTAACATCTTGATTTCCTTCACATTTAGAAGCAGTGCTTAAAATCCATTTAATTTTAATGCGGATCCGGATCCTGGATCCGCACTGGAAAGATGAATCCGGATCCGGATCCAGATTTACTAAATTATTTGTAAACAAATAATTTTCAAATTTATTGTTTATTTTTTTTCGCTTATTTTTATCCTAAAACTTGATAAACCATTCAGAAAGGAGGTTTTTATAATATCTCTTTTTTTTAAAGTTCAGATTTGGGTTTAAGGAGAAAAAAAGATTTTTTTGCAGTTTTTGGTTGATTTTTTACCCCTTGGATCCTAACACTGGTTAGAAGACCTTAAAAAATAAAATAAAAAAAGAGAATTTCTACCGACCTATGAACTATATTCTTGTTGTGAAGATTTTCTACTATTTTGACAACATTGTAGAAAATGACCAGGGTTTCTCTCTCCTCCAACTTCTTCTCTCTGTAACAAGAGGATAAGGCTAAGGAGAAATATAACAAAGGAGAGAGATAGTTTGTACTTTGTTTACATTTTATTGTGATGTAAACAGAGACCATGTGTTTAAATTATCCAAGATTTAAGAAATAAGGTCAGGATTTCTTGGCAGGGAAATGTTCGAACTTATGTGTTGTGAATATCGAGATCAAGCATTCATCTCCATCTTAACGGTTAATTCAAACTTAGGATATCGAGATCAAGCATACAAGATTAACTATATCCACACAACAGTTCCGATCTCCGTAGAACTGAGGCCGAATTTAAAGAATTTGAGCCGCGGGTTAAATATGGTTGGTTCCACTTAAAATTGTATCAAATGCTTCAAGATTTAAGCCGGCGCTTGATTTAAACCGGGTTTTGGCGGATTTAAGCCGAGGCTCAAATTGTTTAAATTCGGCCTCTGGACGATTACTTAATGTTGTTTTTTAACAGTAAAACTAGTTTCAGAGTTGTCAATTTAGGTAAATAAAAAAAATGTAAAAATAAAATGAAGGAAGGAGGGATAACCTGATAACATGGTGCTGAAGATTAACAAGGTCCTGAGTCTAGTTAAACAAACTTTCAATTTATATTTTAAAACATTTGAAGAGCTGCTTGAAAACTTAATGTATTATGTTAAGATATTGATGAAATTCTTATAAGTTTAATTGCAAAGTTTCCTGTGGGGAGAAATTATGCGGCGCAACACAATCCAGAACTAGAACTATTCGTCTAACTTTTCTTCCAGTGTAAACCATCTGATTCTGAGATACTGTTTCCTCCTCCTACAAATTTATCAATAATTTCAACATATATGCGTGAATTGTTTGGTTTCGTTTCTCTCAATATTTTTAAGGATTCTTAAGTTTTTTACTTTATAATTAATCAAATTTGTGTCTTCGGTGGCCGAATTTAAAGAATTTGAGCGGCGATTAAAATTTAAGCCGCGGTTTAAATATGGTTAGTTCCACTTAAAATTGTATTAAATGTTTCAAGATTTGAGCCGGCGCTTAATTTAACCGGGTTTTGGCAGATTTAAACCGCGGCTCAAATTCTTTAAATTCCATCTCTGGGCTCACGTTTCTTCCACTTTTTATGGTTTTACCAAATACTCTAAATTCCTCTTTAAATCATCTCTTGACAAATTTTCCGTATATCTACGAAATTGAACTTAAATCCTTCAATCTTAAAATTTTACACTGTGGTAGATTTCGAGTTTAGTCGTTGAAGCTCTACTAATAAACTTTCATCCCCCAGGAGGAATTGAAATAGTTTGTAGAGAATATGACAGTCTTGCATTGCTTACAGGACCAATACTTCGCTTACATAATTGTGCATAATTAGTTATTTTCATCTCATAACAATTAAATATTCAATAGTTTCATTGATGTGTTTCATTAGTATATAGATTGTTAAGTCTATTCTCTAAATAGGTGTACACTTTACCCATTACCCACGGACCTGTTCGTTGTATCAAATAAAAGTTGCTTATTGCCCAAAAAGAGTAGTTTTAGTGCTACCTGGAGAGCTGTGTCCGAGAATGTGAAATGTTTCTGAATAACTCCAGGTTCTCCTTCTAGCAGACTCAGTAATGAATTCTCAGTGTGGAGCAACATCTTACCCTGTCTCTCATCCTTGATTTATTTATTTATATTTCCTTTGTTTTGCGATTTATTCAAAAATGGTCTAACTTTAAAACAACAATTTAAAATATCAAGAGTTTCTTCTTATAATTTTTCTCGACCATATTTACTTTTTAGATTTAATATTCAAATTGCACGGCACTGCCCAGCGCTTACTCGCGCTTGGTCTTAAATTGTGATTTTACCAAGAAACCAAATTTTCCTTATAAAAGTCGACCCACTCAACTTAAAATCGCAAAATAAAGCTTAAAAAATTCACGTGGTTCTCCCGAGTTCCCCATCGAAAGGCAAATCGGTCCAGGCGCAAGATATATGATCGGACAAACAAACAGAGATTACAATTTTATATATACATTATACATATAGATAGTTAGTTACCTGAGATTCTTTAGTTCCTATTCCTAAATGTAGGATCTTGAGAAGATAATATCTATCCGTCCCGTCCTTCCTACCCAAACAATGCAGGATGGATTTTACAGGAGAAACTGCCAGCTTGGGACCAATCAGGAAATCTCCAATCCTACGTACATGCGGTTCAACCTGCAATACATAAATAAGTATTTATTTAAAATTAAGACACATATTTTTTATTTAAACATTAAAGCATTGCTGTAGACAACCCCTAGGGCCTAGTCTGAACTCTTATCCACTCCCATCCCCTCTACCTTCTCCTTCTTATCTTAATTTTATCTCAAAACTAACCGGTGTTCCAGCCAGCTGAGTATCCTGGTTGCTCGGAGCAGGTTTCTTCCTTGGTTCGGTTGATATTCGTTTACTCCGGGTCCTGGAACCATCTTCATTATTTCGTTTCATCTTCTCCAGGTCCAAGCTCTATCAAGAGAGCTTCATTGAAAGGATTTGCATTGTATTCTGCAACAAAAACACGGTCAGTGCACAACTAGAAAATCACAGAAAAAGTTTGGACAAGTCCGGTATCACAGATTTCAAGGCTAACTAGTACAATGTACCAGTGTACAGGCACGCTTTACCATGTACACTGAACAGTGTACACGTACACGTACATGTTAATATGTCAGTGTAACGTATATTTTTCATGAGAAGTTTGATTTAATTGATTAGAATCTTCTTATTTAATAATATTTTTGCTTAATAATGAAGAAAAAAAAAAAAAAATTATGTACATAACAACAAACATCCGTCCCATAAAACGGCAGGGATGCAGGGATGTAGGGATGAAGGGATGGAGGGATGAAGGGATATTTTAGTACGAGATGAATGAAAAATGTCGCTGAAATGTGATTTTGAATTTCAACTCGTATGAAAGTGATATTTTTTACAATAATATTGCCATTAAAGGCATGATATGTGAAAAGACTTCATTAAGCTTTTAGCAAGGAAATTTTGTGTCGGATACTCTTGATTTTGGACAATCTCTTTACTCTCATTGGCTGAACGCAAAATTCCCTGGCTTCTGATTGGCCGTTAGTTTTCCACAAAAGACACTCTTCTCGGGATATATCAATATAGATTAAATTTATCTGTGGATGAACCAAAAGATCGAGGTCAAGCATACATTGTTTAAGAACTCTATATCTATAACATAAGAGTTCACACCTTTAGTTTGATCTATTTTTTTTTTAAACCAAGAAATTATTTAAGCCTTTATCTAAACAACAATCTCCCCGAAGAGAAGGTACGCTAGCGGGTATCTGACCATGAACGCGACCAGGCTGCAGAAGACCTGAAAGAGGAGAAGGACCAGGGTAACGTTCTTTTCATGAGTTGGACCTGAGAACTTAAGGAGCAGGTTGATGATTGTCAGGTTGTTGAACTCAACTAGGTTCTCAGCTCCTGGACTAGCTACCACACTCAGCTCAACCAGACCTAGTCCACTAAACAAACAATACAGGTCAATTCAGCCCGATAAAGGGAAGGTGTGAGCAAAATGAGTAAGACATGAATAATAACTGAGTTAGGAATCGGTATAAACTACTTAATTGATGAACTGCTATGAGAATTTTACATTTGTGAATTAAATATTTGAAGAGTGAAAGATGAGGAACGTCAAACAAGCACGCATTTTATCTTTAATTTTTCCTCTCAAAAATTTAATGTTCATTTATCAATTGATTTCTGATCTATAAATTCAAGTGATAAATCTTTACCTCAGAACTTTGAGGATTAACTTCCCAATCTTTTTAATTTGTTTTTCAGGAACCTTTGTCATAGACATCATCACTTTGTCCTCTTCCTGAACATAAATTTTAAAAAATTATATTTTCGAAAAAATGTATTATGAGAAAAAAAAGGTAATAAAATGAACAACCCCCTATTTCAAGAATTAAACAAGTTCCTCTAATAATTAAGGCCCTCGTTTAAAATGAAATTTCCTGGACTAATCTTTAAATATTTGATTAGACGATGTCTAAGACAGGGGAGTAGATGAAACAACTGATAATATATTTCCTGGACTAACCTTTATATATTTTGGTAAACGATGTCTAGGACAGGGGAGTAGATGAAACAATATTAATATATTTCCTGGACTAACCTTTATATATTTTGGTAAACGATGTCTAGGACAGGGGAGTAGATGAAACAACTGATATTATATTAGATTTTTCCCAAATATTATTTTGGTAAACCAGCGTGACTTGTCACCAGAGGAGGATGGAATAAAAAAATTTCTGATGAGCGAAATTTTTTTGCGAGGTGTGAAGGGGTTTGTGTAGACCAAAAAATTCATGTAAAAAAAAGTTTTTGGCGCAATTTTTCTCCTCTTTGCTCCTATTGAGCCAAGCAAAGCCACCCAGATTAAAGTAGTTGTTAAGCAAGAGATGCACTTTCATGCTAAAATTACACTATAAGAAAAAAAAACACTTATTTATCTTTTAAGCCGGCCGAGCGGAATCTTTGTAAGAACTTGAATCACATTGATTCAGAAAATGTGTTTACCCCGGGGATTCAAAAGACCTTAAAAGGGATTGTAATCGCAATTTCACAAGATCTTTGATTCATACTTTATCAGACAAAACTTTCAACGGTGCTGGTATCGTCACTTTTAATTACGTTTACAGACCCTTTCATGAGCTTATAGTTCTCCATCTAATTTAGATTATTAACAATGTATGAATCTAATATATTTTCCTGTGGTAAACTGTAGAGGAAGTTCAGGATTTGAGGGATAAAGAACAGGAGAAGCGTCTTAGAGAAATGACCAAGGATGGACACAACTGCAAACGTCATTCCGGAGAAATAACAGAAGGTATCCCCCGGAAATACCTTGAAAACGTTAGTTTAAACTGTGATAGTTTAAACGCAAAATGTTTGTAGTAAACATACACTTTTTATCATCAAATATTTAATATCTGAAAAACTGAGCCAAATGAATCCTGATTAAATAACTTTATTCATTGATACAAAAATAAGTTTACGAGGTTTAAAAATGAAATAGAAATAGAATTTAGTACGACTTGTACTTATCCTTTAAAAAGGCATCGAAGTTGTACAAAATTGGTAAACAATAACTATTACAGCAATAGTGCTTCAGATTAAACATCATCATAATTTTCAAGCTCAATAATTTCCCGCGAAAATAAAACCGCGGAATACCTTACTAGGATACCAGTTGTGGAGTAGAAGAGCTGATGTGGTTCCAATATAAGGAATAATAAAGTAGAGAGAAAACTCATGGTAACTCCTGCATTGTATAACAAATCAGATTTAGAAGAAACTCAATCTTGATAAATATCAATCAAGTCAGTCACAATCCACCAGTCAAATGAAAAAAACATGAAAAAAAATAAAAAATTCAAATTATTAAAAACTTATTTATCAGCATTCAGCAAGTCAATCAGTCAATCAACCAACCAGAAACCATAATCCATCTGTCAGTAAATCAATCAATCAACCAATCAACTTATCAATAAAAAAAATCAGATTATCAATTCCAATCTGGCAATAAATCAATCAATCATTTAACCAATACATTAAATAACGTCTTTTTGGAATCAATTCAAAATAACAAAACAAATGATCGAGGACTATTTAACAAGCTATCAGTTGACCTGCCTGCAACTCAGAAGGTCGTTAATTTATTTAATCATGCAAATATCGTACTGCGGTAAAAAAAATTACCTTGAGAGTCCTGAGAGAGAGGTAAGGTTAAATATTAGAACACTCACAGCAATAACTAAACTCTGTCCAACCTATTGAAATTGAAACGTGAGAATCAAATCTGAAAATAACAAAAAATTGTGTTCTTTGATTAAGAGGAAAATCAATTGGTAAATGTTGTTTAAAAGTTGAGTTAATGTGGGCTACCATTTTACACGAACATTTGTTTAATGCTTGACAAACCTTTAAAACTATCGCATCAACCTTATAAACCCATAAAACTAAACCTCTTCAGAGATGATTTTTTAAGAAAGTGAGTGGGACGAAAAAATATTTGATCACTTACCTCTAACCCATTAATGCCGGCCAGAATATTTATAGCGTTCGTAGCAAACACGGAGAGTAGTCCCATGTACACATAGTACAAGAACCCTAGGTGTACTGAGCTACCCAGTACACCTCGTAGAAGTAAAGGTACAACTATCTCAGTCCTGTAAAAACATGTTTATCATAAAGGGAGGGTTTTCGAATTTGTTGTTTTTTAAAAGTCGATTTGAATTAATTTTGTAAAACTTTTCTACAGAATGTCTACATAATTTCACTCTCTCAAATCAATCAATCAAATCAAATCAAATCAAATCAAATCATGAAATCATGGGAAAGCTTTAGGCTACATTAAACAGCTTTGAGGTTCAATGCCCGATTGTGTAATGGGTTTTCAGCCCGGATCTGAATCTAATTTTGACATTTGACATAAATCATGTAAATGATTTTCTTTAAATGGTAAGGGTTATGATCCAAGCAACACGACCAAGTTTGAGCCATGCAACCATTTTCAGATACTTTTCATTCACCAGTGACATTTGAATGATACCTAACCCTGTAACAGGGAGCACATTAGTCCCATCAAATGATATTAACCCTGTAACAGGGAGCATATTAGTCCCATCGAATGATACCTAACCCTGTAACAGGGAGCACATTAGTCCCATCAAATGATATATAACCCTGTAACAGGGAGCACATTAGTCCCATCGAATGATATAAAACCCTGTAACAGGGAGCACATTAGTCCCATCGAATGATACCTAACCCTGTAACAGGAGCACATTAGTGCCATCAAATTAACCCTGTAACAGGAGCACATTAGTGCCATCAAATGATACATAACCCTGTAACAAGGAGCACATTAGTCCCATCAAATGATACATAACCCTGTAACAAGGAGCACATTAGTCCCATCAAATGATACATAACCCTGTAACAAGGAGCACATTAGTCCCATCAAATGAAACATAACCCTGCAACAGGGAGCACATTAGTCCCATCGAGTGATACATAACCCTGTAAGATTTTGACCCCCAATTTAAAATTTTGCGTACACTCTCTTAAACTTATTTTTCGCTGTTATGAATCGACTTGTACTTGTAAAATTAATCGATGAATGTTTATTGTCTATAAACCATCAAAACCTGTTATTTGAGACGAAATAAACCATGAGGAGGGGAAGAGAAGCCATACTTGGTAATAACAGTTTGTGTCTCCACCTGGTTTAATAATATATTAATTTACAAGAATATATGGTAAACTTGGTAATTTTACAAGAAAATATGGTAAATTTTGTAATTTTACAAGAATATATGGTAAATTTGGTAATTTTCAAGAATATATGGTAAATTTGGTAATTTTCAAGAATATCTGGTAAATTTGGTAATTTTCAAGAATATATGGTAAATTTGGTAATTTTGCAAGAAAATATGGTAAATTTGGTAATTTTACAAGAAAATATGGTAAATTTGGTAATTTTCAAGAATATATGGTAAACTTGGTAATTTTACAAGAAAAACTGTCCAACTCTATCTAAGTCCGCTTGTTTGTTTGTTTGTTTGTTGAAGAACGACAAAACAGCCGAGCAGAATTGATCTAATTATTGTGTGTGGGGGGTTCCTAAAATCCCACAAGAGGGTTTTAATTAATATATGCAATAGAACGACAGACGCTAAGCTCCACTGGATTTAGTAAGTACAAAAGGAAAAAATTAATTTAAAATGAAAATACGAGAAAAGTTTAAGGAAAGTTTTCAATAATATTCTAATATGTTTCAAAAACTTCACACAGGCTTTTGTTTGAACTTTAATGAAAAGCCAAATTCTTTTTAAATTCTGATTCGATAAAAAAACAATAGAATAAGTATAAACCTGAGATCTAAAACATCATCAGCAAACCCCAGGAGGAGCATACAGGTGATGGACAACAGAGCTGAGATCAGGTGCACAAACTCCTAGAAAAATCAGACTATTAAAACTCGGAAATATCAGGCTAGTTATGAATTTAAAAAAGTTAGAAGGGACTAGTTTCTCAACGAGATACTTATTAGTCATAGAAGGACTGTCAAAGTAATTACAAGTGACTTTCCATTTGAAGAGAGGCATAATAACAACGGTATCTTTTAAAGCTTTGTAAATTTATGAGATTTCCCTGGTTCCATGGTCAAAGAACGGTGTTAATAGACAAGTTTCCGAACCTGATGCGGGAACTCCGGTTTATCCTGGAGCAAGTAGTCGGAGTAGGTGAACGGAATCATCAGAAAGGTTACCATCAAAAATATGCATCCTTAAAATGGGGAAAATAAGTAAGCCAGACTTAGCGGGGTTCAATCGGAGTATTATTTTAAATTTTTTCTAATTTCAACAAAATTAAATGAGAAAAAACATTATTTATATTTTGTGAACCTGTGATAACCCCTGTAGCTTCGGGAACCTTCTCTCCTGATGATTTATTAAGATCTATACCGAACAGATTTGCTTTGAGAAACATATCTCGAAACTTTGGGATGACATGGTAGGTCAGGGTTCCAGCAGCTACTGAAACCCCGGTCAAAAACTCAAGAGAAAACATTTTTCTGAAAAATATTGCAATAGAAACGTATTCCAGAATAGTGATTGTGAAAATGCATTAATGCCCAGAGAAACAGTGGACGAACATTCACATAAGTCTGGGAAACATTCTCGTAACAAATCCGCGAAAAATCTGAGATTATTCGGTTTCCTCCTCATCATCCAGATGACTGAGTTTAAGCTCTGAGGATTTACTGGATTGAGATGGAAGAGGTTTAGAATGTCCCTTCTTTTTGATAGGTTTGGCTCCGACAACATATTCCGGTAGAACCTGCTTGGAACCCACAAATGTTGGTTTAGAGGAGGGTTCCGGCTCCGAGATATCTGAAGTTGAACCTTCAGATATTGGATAATGGTCGGGTCTTATAATTTTCTTCGTGGGACGCTTGAAAACCAGTTTTTGGGATAAATCCGCGACCGGCTCATCAACATCCATCTTATTCTTCTTAATAGTTTGAAGGAACTGCAGAGCTGCGGCGGTATTAGATCTCTCCGTAACATTACCCACATCTTCCAAACTATATTTAGTCCACTTATCAGGGTTTTTCTTGAAATCCGGTACAAAACCCCCCCGTCCCCCACCCCGCCCACGCCCACGCCCCCCTCTTCCCCTGAATGATGTATTCTCTCTTCTCTCTGGTTTCAAGAACTCAGCTGGATGTTTAAATCCACCTGAGCTTTTGTCCTTGACCACGTCCTCCCCCCGGAACCGTTTGGCATCCCTGGTAGAGCAGTTGCTAATGGATCTCTCCAACTGCTGCTGCTCAAAGTTTGGTGTCTTATTTCTCTAAAACAAGAAAAAAAGATGTTTTAAATCTTAGTTCAAAAAACAGATCATCATAAAACTATGTGTTGACGGAAGGCGGCAACATTTTTGGACAATTTTAAACGTTAAGAAGTTAACAAGTTTTTTGAGGTTCTGATTTTTTAATAGTTAAAAATAACCTTGATATCTGATTTTTCAGGTTGTTTAACACTTCCGGAGCCGAGAGCGGAGAACACGTCGTTGACGCGTCCCGAGAACTCGGCGCTGGAGAGCGCGTCCCTGAGGTTGAACATGGTTAAGCGTGAACCCCGGAGTAGGTGATGATCCAGGTAACCAGGAATCCCGCGAAGCTCGTGATAAATCCTTCCTTTGTCAACTCCCAGGCTCCACCGAACTCAGTCTCGTCGACTCCCTGGAAGGAAAATAATCAATTGTCTACATTTTTCATGTCGGTTGTAAAACCCCAGAACTTTGACAAATCTGGATTGTAAATGTCACTTAAAGTGGCATAGAAAAAATATCTGTCTTTGACAATTCTCAAAAATACCCTTTTAACATTTAGTTGGGAGAACTTTTTCGATTTCGGCCATTTTCTTATTTCTATTTAGGAACATAAATCTTCCAAGACGCTCAACTTCAATTTAAAAAGAAGATATTTATTCCACATTGCTTCTCAAATATAGGTTAAAAGGTAATGCGGGTTTTTAGGTTTATTCAGGTTTGAATATTAAACTGGAATACCTGAACTGCAGTAAACCAAACGTAAACTATTCCAGCAGAGAGAGCTGCAAACAGAGCTAAACCGAAGAATCCTTTGAGAGGGAGTAAACCCCAGACTAAACCTGAACAGTTAAATGATCAGTAAAACCAGTATAAAGTCTCTTGTCCTCTCGTAATGGTTTTACATCATAAACTCTCTTTTCTGTGTAGTGTTTCAAGTTTCTTTAACCATGAACCTTTACATTACCCATTTAAATCTTGATGAAAAGCCTAAAATGGCTACGAAAATTTAAAATATTAGTGTAGTTAGGGTGAAAACCAACGTTGAAAATAACTTAATATAACACTGAAAATGGCAGTAAGTAACAAAATGCGCTGGCGGTCCCTTTATGAATTATTATGTAAGTAATAGTATTCAATTCATATATTCAAAATTGATGTCTTTTGAGTTCAGTTTGGTTAACAAAAATAAATATAAAGGTTTAAGGGGGGCGGGGGCTGCAGTAAATAATCTTTAAAAATTCCAATAATCCCACCGATAATAATCCCAATGAACTGCCTGCCCCAGTAGATGACGTCTAGGAACTCCTCTTTGTCTGCGGACCAATCAGATTGTTTCCAGATCTAACACAATATTTTCAACTCAGAGCTGGGATCGTTTCATCTGTAACATATGATGTATCTGACTGTGTCCGTCCCAAGTACGGTGAAACACGACCCCTATCGGTGAAATAAAATGGAAAGCTTAGTAAAATTAGATAATATTCAGACACCCATTTGTTTGGGACGATGCAGGCTTAGAAAAAAATACAATATAATTGACCCAGAAAACAGTACAAATCAGCAAAGTCTAAGAGCTGATTTTGAATCACTACCATCAATTGTAAACAAGTTTTGATCAAATAAATGAAACGTATTTATTAATTAATAGTTCTATTTATCTAAAAAAAATAGGTCTAAGAATAAAATAAGTTTTAGAGATCCCACATATAAAAGATATATGTGTTTTTAAAAACCAAAAAGATTGAATAATTGAAAAATTTTAATTAATTATATTTAAAATTTGGAAAGAAAATATTTTCTACGGGTTAACTGTAAAATGCCTTTAAGATTTACTATAATTAGGAAAAAGAACATTTGTAAATTATTTTGTATGTTAAACATTAATATGGTCTGAAATGTTCGGAGAGGTGATACATTAATATATATAATTATTTCCTAGATTAAACCTGATTTTATTGAAAATATTCCTTTTTGAAAGAACTACTGATGGACATCTTGCATAATATATTCACAATTTCTGAAATGAACACGAAAATATAGTTAGTTAATGTGCTGACCTTACATTTACATATTCATAAGGCACGTATGAAATCGTGGGGGGGGGGGGGGGGGTGAAGCTATTGTTTAAAATTTGCATCAAATTTCCTTATACACTTTAAAACTGTGTAATATATTAAACAATTAATTGTAAACAGGAAAAAAAATTGAATTATAAAATTGGTATTATTTTAAACGATTCTCAAGATTAAGGGGTATTTAAACACGGGAGAAACTACTCCAAGAATAAATTTACAAGGAACATTAAAATAAATGTCGAAATAATTGACTAAAATATAAAGCAAAAAATTAATCCCCGAAAAATGCTTAAGATATTTCGACTAGGCTGCGAAAACAGGGGTTGGTAAGTCGTCCAGATCAAAATCGTCCTCATCGTCATCTCCTGGAGGTTCGTCAACATCTCCTTGAGGTTCATCAGGATCGTCTTGTTGACCCGTCTCAACCTGCTGGTCCTGGGATTGCGAAGATTCCGGAGATGGAGGAGACAATGGTTTCGCTATCACTAGGTTAGGATATGCCAGTTTCTGCTCCGACCTAGAGGTTGAAGAGAGAGAAGAAGGACTAGGAATAGAACTCGAAGAAATCTCTTTGCTTGACAATTTAGGATATCTAAAATAAAACGCATTAGTTCGAATATCAATAAAATCTAACCCTGACCATCTCNCCCCATAATTTTCAATGTAATGTTCATGCAACACACGTCAAAAGTTTAGACATAAGCCAACCTTTCCGCTACTGAAGCAGGACGTTCTGATAAATCTGGAAGTCCGAGCCTGGAGGTAGTTGGGTGAGATTTATCCGGATCAGATTTATTAGAGAGTGTACTTGAAGGACGGGTTTCATCACTCTCCGACCTTTCCCCCAATCTCGAGATATCTTAATGAAAAAATAAACATTTTTTTTACGCGGGTTGAGAACTATTCTAAAATCTGTTTTTGAGAGAAAATATCTTTATACTTGCAAAAAGTTCTGAAAACATTTTTAGAAGTTTTGCCTGATCTGCAAAACATTACAACACATAGTATGGACAACACCCTGATCCATATTATATTATGGATCATTTCATTTCAAAAGATTTGAGTTTAAATTAAGAAGAAAAAGTCCAAAGTTTCCAACAAACCTTTAGTACCGCTTGAAGCCCCGGACCAAGCAGGACCAACAGTCAAGGATTCACTAATACTGGATTCAGGGGTAAGATCTTCTAGAAGCTTCTCTAGAGGTTTATTTATCAGCTTGGTAAGAAAATCGTCAGTTTTCTTCTTCTCTTCAGTTCTGTCCTTGTCCCGTTTATCTTTATCGCGATATTTTTCTTTTTCCAGCATTTTCTTCTTATCCCGGTCCTTATCCTTCTTATGTTTCTTGTCCTTCTTATGTTTATGTTCCTAAGCAAAATACTTGTTATGCAAATGACAATTTAAAATCTTAAAAATTCCTAAAATTTGGTACGGAAAATCAGAGAACAATGAACAAATTGAACAAAAACTTGATGATCGGGGATTATATTTTAAATATTAAATGTGAAAAGAAAGGTCAATTTATTTTTATCCTTATTCATACTGAAATGATTTTCTAAGGAAAGGGGGGGATGAGTTTATAGGAAAATATTAACCCCTACTTAACTAACTTCACGTAAATTTACGTTTACTTTATTTTTTCTTTTACCTTTCTATCTTTATGATCCTTTTTCTCTGAGTCTCTTGACTTCTCTTTATCTTTATCTCTTTCTTTGTTCTTTTTCATTTTCTTTTCACTAGAAGAATTAGAAATCTTTTCAGATTTTTCGGCAGGTTTGGTTAAACTTGATATTCCTGATATTTTAGATGCGGCTCTTTCAAGCAGACGTTTAATATCGTCATCGTCGGAATCGTCAGAATCGACAATCTCTTTAGATTTCAGTTTATCTGAATGAATTTTTTTTACAACTTTGTTTGCACTTGAGGATGTAGCTAATTTAGGCTTCTTGGGAGTTAGATTTCTCTTGACAACAGACCCTGATCCCAGCATTTCAGGTGTAAGGTCCGTCATCTCGAATAGTTTATTGTGCGTGAACGCATAATGCCGCGTCAATGTAATTCTGTCTCTGTTTAGTTTACTGCACACGGGACACTCATAAGGCTTGTTTGACGGTAACACAGCGTAGAAATTTGAATAGTAGTGAGAAAGAATATGATTCTTTAAATGGCTCAAGTCTTTACAAACAAGTCCGCACTTGCAACAATCAGGTCCTGAAAACACCTCGGGGTTGGACCCAGAAACAGGATCTTTTTTCTTAATCTTAATTTCAGACTTTTCCTTTGGGGAGGCCTTTTTTGTTTCGTCATTCTTAACCGGCGACTTTATTAAATCTTTCAGTTTCTTTTTTTCCTTCTTCGAGTGTTTTCCTTCGTTATCACTGTCACTTGCCAGGAAGTCGGAGGTATCGACTGATGATCGATTTGAATTGATTTTCATTCCTAAAAATAAGATTTTTATGATTAACAGTTGAAGTGCCCGGCGTTGAATATGATATCTAGAAAATCCACACTCAGCAGAAAATCCGTAATATGATAGAATAGATATCCAACATATCCTATTTAGCCCAAGTTGGTAAATATAAAAATATTTACGATTTGGTCGGGTATAGGTAAAATACATGCATACACATATAAATATCCTGCATGCAGCTCTGCATTAAATATTAAGATTTGTAAACATAGCGTGACATTTTTACATAAAAACTCAACCCCAGTCAAAAAAATTATATTAAAGTTAATTACTAACTATATTTACCTTTATTTTCCATTTTTTCTTTCTCCCAATTCTTTTTTGCCTTCTCGACTTCCCTTATATTTCTTTCCTCATCGTCTGAACTTTCCCCTGTATTTTCATTTTTCTTTCGATCACTTTCATTTCTCTTTTTCTTCGCGGTTTCTTCTTTCCTGGCTGAAGATTTTTCATGTCTCTCCTGGTCAGATTTGTGTTTTTTCTTTCGCTCATTTTTATCTTCCAAACTTGGGGATCTGCTTCGTTTAACTTTACTTGCTGGACCCATCTTCGGTTTTTTCTTTACTGTATCTTCTTTATTCTTTACTGTATCTTCTTTATTCTTCACTGTATCTTCCTTGTTCTTTATTTTTACTTCTCCTTTACCTGATTTTCCATGTTTGTATTCCACGTCATTCGTTGTATTAATATTCTTCTCATCATCACTTTCCGATAGTTTTCGTTTCACTTTACTAGCTGGGCCTACTCTAGGCCTAGATTTTTCAGGTTTACTCACAGGTTTGGTTTCAGTATTAGATTCAGGTTCAGTTTTAGGTTTAGAATCATGTTTAGGTTCTGAGTTATCCCTCTCAGTGTCTTCGTCTGAAAGAGAAGAGAACTTTAAAGCGTTTATCGACCACAAATTTTTTTGGTTATTTTGGTGAATTAATCTCTAAACCCAAGTTAGGGGTATATTGAGAATGTCTGCGTAGAGTATATAGAATTACTGAATTAACTATTTTTATTAAAAAAAAATCCCCAGCATATCGTTTGTTATTTTAATGATCTGAAAATGAGATTAATTTCTTTGAACCGATCAAACTTAGATCAGTAGACTCAAAAATTATTTTCATACATGAAAAAAAATAATTTCATTTCTGTATTTGAAATGTAAAACTACTAAATCTCACCTGAAGAACTTCGATCTCGTTTAACTTGGCTACCGGGACCAATCTTCTTTTTCTTTTTCGGCGGCTTCTCATTCTCAAAATTATTTTTCTCTTCAACATCTTTCTTTTTTTCATTTTCCGTAGATTCTATTTTCTTTTCAATATTTTCCTTTTCTCTTTCCTTAAAAATTTAAAACTTACTTCAATGCCATTTCAAAGAAATTTTAATTTGCAAGATTAACTTTTAAATCCAAAGAGGGGGGGGGGGGGTTAACATTGGAATTGTTAAAAGCTTAATTTCATTAATGTGGGAGAAATGTGAAATAAAACTAAACTTTTATCGTCAGGATATTAAAAACCCAAATCTAAGGTGAAAAAATTAAACTAATGATAAAATTTACTATGCATAAATATTTTCTATTGACCATACGTTTACTATTTATTCAAATCTATATTTGGTTCCTAAGATATACACATAAATGCGATAGATTTGTTAGTATTGTTCACTTAAATAATACTTTAAGTGGAAAGTGATAGCTTTAATGACTACGCTGTAAGATAACTGGGTCTGTCCTAGTGAACGATTTTTGGACCCCCCCTACCATGTGAATCTAAACCCGAAATTTTAATCTTGCATTAATCTGATACTTCCGGACCCTAAGCTTAAACTTTTGTGTATAAGAAATGCTTTGACTCAGAATATCTGGTACTAAAATGCATAATGTAACAGTTTAAAAACGTTGCACGTCCCAATTGATCATTTGTGAACACAAACAGAAAGTATATTTCATGTGTAAATACTTAATAGAAACGCCGCAAAAAATCATTTTAAATTACATAATTATCACCGTTATAAACAAGTATTTTGAACTCTTAAAAATAAAGGTTATATTCGGCTAACGAATCCAAATAACATATTACAAGTACACACCCGGGGAAAAGCGCACAGTACAGTGTAACTGCAGTGGTTGATTGATACCATAGATACGCGGCAGTATAAACTCATCAAAATGTAAAATCATAGAACTCCTTTTCAATGTATGTCGTATTCACGTATCACGAAAACGACATTTAATGTCTTTGACCAAAACCCCACAACTACTTTTATTACGCATAATTATAGTTTTCATTATTACGCATAATCATTACGAAATTTCGCGAAATTACGTTGTAGAAATTACGCGAAATTACGCCGTAATTTCGCGAAATGGATATTTCCCCAATTACGCATAATCCTGAGAAATTACACGAAATGAAAATTATTACGCGTAACTGCACGTAATTACGCGTAAGAGAATAATCTATTACGTTGGAAACCCTATACTCAGGGCGAGCCTATGTCGCCTAGGGGGCAGTAGCGTATACTGAAACCTTTTTTTTTTTGGAGGGGGGGGAGCTTATTATTTGTTTGCTTTTTAAGGGATTTTTAGAAGGCCTGCACAGCCACCGTTGACGGCTCTAAAGCCTGCTTATACCCCTTGGCAAATAGATTATCAAGTAAATCAAGTAAAATAGGTGGCATCAGAGAAGTGGACCAATTATACACAACGTCACAAGTGTCAAATATAACAAGGAAAACGAAATTTTCTCATATTTGCTGACATGTTTTCCAATATTAAATTAAAAGTGTAAACTGCACCGAAAATAAAGAAAACATAAAATTGCACTTAAAATTATTTTTATTACTAATAACTTTTTCGGACACAAAAACTGAATTGACACTTGTAACGTCAGAATACAGCTGTACTGAGAGTGATACAAATTCAACGTTGCCATCTTTTGTACTAGAATCTACTTGCCCCTTGGGAACCTATAAGTAAGTTTTTTATCTTTCCAGGGAAAGAGGGAAAGATAAGGTGGAAAGTAGCTCAATATCTGAGTAACAATAAGGGAGATATCATCCTTTTCTAAATCCCTGACATGGAGGGGGGGAGGAGTGAAACAAATTTCATCCCCCCCCCCCTCCTCCGGCTTAATCCCCTGCTAGAGTTGTCTTCTAATTGTTTTTTTATTTTTGGGACAGCCAGTATGTGTTCTGCATTGATTTACAGTGAAACCCTTAATAACGAATACATCGAAAGATTTCATAAAATGTCGTATTCTTTACTTTCTGATTATAATGGAATGTTGCAGATATTTAGTTTTTTAATTAAATAATCATATGGAAGCTCTTTAAAACTGTTCCCGCATATTCACGGCTATTTATTTATTTTCGCAATTATACTGAAATTTACGTAATACAGTATAAAACTCATTGAATAATTGTCAAGACGACATTTGATAAATCCTTCCGATGTATCCGTTATTAAGGGTTTCACTGTACGAAAATCATCCAAATTTCGAGAAAAATATTTATGTTCAATATTTTAATTCAATTATTGCGAATACACACGTTTAAAGTTATTAAACTACTTCATAAAACAAAGAAATTGGAATGGATAAGTCCAGGAATCATACTGTATTAGTGTGATGTACTGCATATAATTTGTGAACATTTATACATTAATTGTACTCTTTGAACTCCCTTTCAGACTGAAAGGGACTGACAAAATTCATACCGAGGGATTGTTTAAATTCCACTCTGTGTATAATCTATTCTCTTTGCCTCTGCTACTGAACGTGAAAGACATGTAAATGTGCGTATTTTGTTTTTGGCTCTTTTTAAGACGTGTAAGATTTTTTAAAAACTCCTAATTATAATTTGACCAATCATTTTCTTTTTTCATTTGTGCTTTTGGTGTGGACAAAGAAATAAAAAGCTTGATATAGTTAATATACATTTTCGATATACAGAGTGTCCTACATTATATTAGATCGTGTAATAACTCAAAATTGTGATTTTTGTGACTAATAAGAAAATTTAAAAACAATGAATCATTTAAAAAAAATTAAAGGTTTTAAAAAAAGTTTTCTTGTAGAAAATACTAGGTTTTTGAGTATAATGTGCGTATTTTGACGTTAAAGCTTGGAGATAATCTAATATGATTTGGGACACTCTGTAGCATCTGATCATTGGTTAAGCCTTTTAACATTAAAAAGAAGAAAAATCGTATCATCGTATCTAATCGTACTTTTGCAAAATCCGATCTTGGTGGGGAAGGAGAGAGGGGGGGGAGTATAAGAAGGATAGCAAAATATCTGCTAGTTTGAAATAATATTTAGTTTGAAGGAACATTCGTCAATAGATGAGACATCCATGTTTTTTGAAAATCTTGATTTCATTATATTCATTTCAGTATTGCATGTTTTAGAATAATGGTTTACAAGTGTAGGGTGGTAGAACACAAATGTTGGACAATGAACACCTAGATGAGTTTGTTCCATGCACTCTGGCAAAAGTCGACCAGATTTTGCATGTCGAGGAGGAGGAAGAACTTTAGAGAGTTGTAGATGATTTTGTTCCCAGGAGCAATACAAAATTATCCACATTTCTAAACGGCTGCGAGGGGGCTACATTATGTAGCAGGATATCTTTGCTAAAAGAAAGGTATTTTTTGCCTTTAATTCAAGTAAAATAGTATTCATTTTTGAAAATAGTAACACACAAGAATTTTCATTTAGAAATCAAAGATGTAATGAAGTGAAAAACAATGTTTTTACAAAAAACAGGGATGTATATATTAGTTCTGAGATTTATCTTTTTGTCCCCTCCCCCCTCTTTCACCCAAAAAGTCACAATAAAAGTATGTTTATACTTTATAATCTAAAATGTTATTATTTTTTCAGGCAAGGATTATCCCTGGTTGGGGCAGAAACTGAGAGGTTCATCTCCATCCATAGACATGTACAGCCCATATTTCAAAATACAAATATTGAATTCTAAAATGTATTGATATGTAAAAATCTTTTTTAAATGTTTGATTGTTGAAGGAAATAAAATCTTTATTTTCGTTATTTTCGTATTTGTTTTCAGGAATCTTTTTGGTGTGAAAAAAATTATTTTAATAGGCTTTTAGGGCGTTTCGCGCCCATATTCTATTAAAATTTATTAACATTTTCTCTTTAAAATACATTGTAAAACAAAAACAAAAAAAAGTTCGCGGATTTTATTAAAATATGTCGTGAATTTTGAAAATTGATTGGAGATAAAATTTTGTTGGATGCAAATTTTTAAAATTTTGATCATTCATAAACCTTCCCTGGGGTCTTGTGACCGGTATCACAAAACATTTGGGCCTGATCGGTTCAGCTGTTTTGATCGACGTTTATTGGATACAAACAAACAGACAATCACAGTAAATATATATAGATATAGATAATAATAACCAACAGGTTTAACAAGATTCACTCATCACGTATGTTTTGAACGGATAGGTAATCGGAATCATTTTGAGAAAAGATCATTTTAATTAAAGTAAGAAAAAATGCCAAATTCTTGAATCTCCCACTCATGGTCTCTCTAGCTGGGTTTCAAGTGCTGCGGAGAAATCTTTTATTTCTATCTTTAGTTTTATTTTTGTTTTATAGATATTCTGTTTTTATTTTAGATCCTTATCCTCTTATATGAAGGAGGGGATGCAAACTTGTAATATTGTATATTGCCAAAAACTTTAGCCAATTCTTTGCAACACAGCTTCACGTCTTACCAAGCGTTATTGCAAATATATTTCTTTTGCTAAAAATATGTTGAAGATGAAAAAAGTTGTTTGAGTTATTACTTAAAGGGACAGACCGGCTATGTAAGGTAGTTTAACTAAGTATGTAGTGTTGTGGAAAGCTTCTTTAGGATTCATTTGAGACATATAAAACTTTTTAAAGATCTGTAAATCCTGAGTTTGAGCGCAAATTTGACGTTAAAAACTCCTACTTTAGGGGTGGATACGTTTTCAGCATTAGTTTTTTTTAATTATTAAATAACGACGAATAAAATGTAAAATAAATTCGACAGTAAACTAATTAGTTGTTTAGGAACAGGTTGAGAAAATACAAATTAATCTTATCATCGAAAATAAGTAATCTTGTTCAATTCTTAGTTTCTATTTTCTCATTACTCTGGTTTCTCATTATTCACAAAGATTTTCTGTAGATTTTCTGGAATTATTGTTGAAAAGACGACATTTGAAGAATTTGAAGAAATCTGCGAATAAATTCAAAGAAAATAGAAAATTCAATTTAATATGAAAACGAAATAATTGATTC